AAGTATGTAAGTAGAATTATCAAACTAAATTGAAAAAGTATAGTTTTCTAAAACAAATTATAAACGAAGAAAAAAAAAAAAAAAAAAAAAAAAAAAAAAAAACCGGCGAGACGACTGATTCGTGGATATTATGAAAAGAGCTGTACAATGTGACAGTGATAAATAAAATACTTTAACTCGGAAGTACCGTTACTTGGATCACCTTACCTTTCGAAGAAAAAAAAAAAACAATTTGCTGCGAGACACGAATCGAAACCTTTTTACGCAGTGTATATATTTTTATCATCATATATTCAGTTTATTAGAGAAATGACAGGTTTTTTTTTTCTCGATACACACACAATGGACGTAAGTACAAATGTCCACATAACGGAGCACGGAAAATTCCGATTATAGTTAAAATAAATTCTGATGGATGGAGTGCGATGCGTTAATAATTGTTCTTCACGTGTGAGCAATAATTGAGTCGATCCCATATTATGCGATCCACAATCACGCGAGTATGCACGTGCGAGAAGGTGAGAAATATGAAAAGATTAAAGTGTATATATATATATATGTTTTTTTAGTTTTAAAATTGATTTGAAAAAAGCACCTCTCACGATCATATCTTTCACATTATACAATGATAAACGCGATGTTCTAAATAAAAAAGAAACCGCTACACACATTTTTCACATAAGACAAACTGCGACTCACTCATCTATGTGGAAATATTTTGATGATGAAATATGTGTTTTGTACAAATTCAACAATCTACACCGACTCACTCGTTTGCGCGACGCCGAATTCGAAAGTAAAGTTAATGATAATCGACGTTGCGCAGCGATATTTTCTCACTATCCCCGGATATATTTCAAGCACCCTCTTGAGTGCGATTAAGCAGATAATCAAGATCGTGAGAGATGCGGTCCAGCATACCGCTGGTGGTGCTGTCGCAAGCGCCGGACACCACGATCTCCGGTGTCTTCTCCTCGCCATCGGGCTGCTTGCGTTCGCTCGTGTTGGCGATATCCGGTATTGCGCTCACCACGTGCTCCCGACTCTTCAGTTCCACGCTCGTTCGCGATGACAATTCGACGTCGCTCTTCACGGCCAACGTGACATCCGGCATAGCACCCAGACGTGACTCCACATCGGCGCTGCAGAGTACCTTGGCCGAAGATTCGGCGGATACGGTTCCTGCCGACGGCAAAAAGATTTTGCCGTCGCCACTGCGATACTTGGTGACGTCACCGCGAAAACTGCAGCAGTCACCGCCGTAGGTCGACGTCTCGTTGACACAACGAGCACCGCGACTTGCGAATGTCGGATCGACGAACACCGGCGGTTCCTGATACTTACGCGGGCTCGTGCTGTAGTTCTCGAGATCGATGTCGTCCGAATGATCGACCCGGATTTCCGGCAAGAATCTGCCGGTCGGTGGCACGGACGATTTGGAGTAGACAGACGACGACTCGGATACAAACTCGCGCATATCTATGCTTCCCGCTGCGACACCACGCACTTCCCGATACGGCTCGCCGGAGATTGACAAAGGCGCCGGTGGAGTTGCCGAATCGTTTTCAGCTTCCGCGTCAGCTTTCGAACATACTAACGGATATAACGTGAGTGTTACTCGTAAAAAAAAAAAAAAAACATTCTATCGTCAATATTCGATTGAACAATTTCTCTGTGCTTTTGATATTTAAGATACACCTAACTTTTCAATAATAGATATTAACGCGAATCGAACCTACAATACCTTTGATAGGCTCCGAAGTATTTTCCTCGTTTGCTCTGCGTTTCACCATGATTCTTCGCAAAAGTGGCCCGACAACCGCAACTTCACCGTTGACGATGTATGCGATTATTATATCAAAGCCCTGCGCGCCAACGGAAGCAAATAATTCTAATGCACGAATTATTTCTCATTTTATATATACGTGTGTATCATATTCTCTGCAGAACTTACCAGAGCGCAAGATAAGGACGCGAACAAGTAGTGGAAAATTATGGACGACGAATTTATGTAGAAAATAGAGGACATTTCCACGGCGACGATACCACATATGACAAAAACCGCACGATGTAATATTCGTACTCTGGGATAAATAGAATTAGATGTGATTTGGATAAAAAAAAAAGCTACGCGAATATCACAGAAGATTCTATACGAATTTGTATACCTCGCTTCTATAGCTTCTCTCTTCATCACGTTTGTCTCTACCAATGTGTGAACCTTCTGGAGCACTCCCATGTAAAGGAGTATGAACACCAAAAACATCATCGTTGCGCAACTGACAAATATGTAATAAACGCCGCTGCCGTGTATCAGCCACCAGGACTCGTGTCGCCATCCGATACTCTTGTGCGTTAACTCGGTCGCGAATACAGCCAGAATCGGAACACCTGACAAAAACGCGCGATTGTAAGTTGTACAAAAAAAAAAACAATCCAAATAATTCACTGATTATTACCGGTTATCACGGCGATAACTGTCGACTGGAGGTGTTGACTCGGTCGGATTTGCGTAAGTTCGGCATATACTATCAAAGCTTCAGAAATAGGTGCGGACATACCGACCAGGAGAAATGCTTCTAACCCAATCGCTACGAGCGAGTAAGATGACTGAAATAAGCAGCAAGAACTTGGTGAAAAATAGAATAAAGTTTATATGATCTGCTTCAAAAAGATTGGAAATTACAAGTTCAGAATAGATCTTTGGATGTCTTAATAAATGATAATCACCTCTGGAAGATTATTGTAGACAGCGTAGATGAAAATAGCCATCGCTCCGATTAACGCACCGCAGCACTGAAGCTTCAAAAAATTCAGCCAAGTTCTGTACTTCCACCAGAAGGTGCTTAGTATCAGAGCAGACAGCAGGCATTGAGCCAGGCAACTGCCGCATCCGAACAGTATAATAAACGTAGTTTGTTCTGTTTTTGCCAGTACTACCTGCGACATTTTAAAAAAAGTGAAGAATTTAAAGGCTCCGAAAGTTACATATATATATATACACGCTTATTTCCACACAACATCCTGGTGTAGGCTCTCATGACCATTGACATATATATTTAAAAAAAATATATATAAAATTTTTCTTTGCTTAACATAAATTCAACGGGACATGTGTGTTTCATCAAATGACATAACAGACTTTTTCATTTTGTTCTTACTTTTGCAGCGCGAGTTGTTAAAAACACAGCTATGGTACCCGCGGTAGGGCACAAACAATGCGTCATCCCGTCACCGTACACCGTGTTTGCTAAGCAACTATCGAGATCCCAAGATCCGGTGTTGCCCATCAGACCGCACGATGTGTTCCAGGAACTCGTTTGATTTTGCAAATGACGAATTTGCAAATCGACCCATATCTTAATGTGCTTATTATCGACAATCAAGGAGGGCACAGCGACAACGATTACTCGAGAATTGATGCGAAACTCCAGATCCGTACCATCGCTAAATGTGAGTAAATTTAATGTTTTTTTTTTTTTATATAATAATTTTCATCTTTTCACATCTTTTTACATCGATTTTCTAAGTCGATTAACTTACTCGAGCTCTTTGACATATGCAGTCGGTATAAAATGTGACAAATTTTTGTACACGATGACGATTCCGGGAAATGTAACATTGGATTTTACATTGCGTTGCTTCTTTTTCCATAATCTTACAACTATTTTGTCCTCATACCAATCAGGATATCTGCCATTGACGAGATGATTATTCATAAGAAAGTTGTTTTTTAATGTTACAAATAGATAAATAGACAAATTATATTGTTTTGAGAATAAATTTTGAACGATTAGAAAAAAAACGTAAAAAAAAAAAAAAGATAAATATTACGTTGAAAAAGAATATAGGAATATAATTACACATAATCAGCCGAAGGTATTTGAAGAGAATGCGTAAAACCGTCTCCACTGTGAGATTGCACACCGAGAGATTGCAGTTGTTGAATATCCACAACCATGGATGACATGGACAGATGTTTAGATTTTTGTTTCAGTTCTGTAGACCAGTGAATTAAATTGCGTTTCGTAAGCTGAAGCAGCACCGATAATTTCTGAAAATAAACATATTTAAGCTCACAAAATCCGCTCTTTTTGCTCAGCGGTTCTACATCGAATCTAAATTATTATTACCTCCTGACTCAAGATAGAGTATTTGTCGCTTAGAATGCGATTTGTTATTTGAATCAAAGCCTCTGCGGAGACAAATGCGTCTGGCGGATCGATTTTATGTTGGTACCGATCGATTTCGGCCAACATGCTTAGTATGCGATCACCCTCGCCAGGATAAAGCGGCAACGTACGTTTGTGCAAGATTTTCAAAAAGGCGAAGATCGTGTCGGAACTTGTGGTATTTTGATAACCTAGTGTTAGGCTTCGAAACTACAAATTAATTTATTACAGAATTAAAATATTATTTTAATCAGTCGCAGTAATTATTGAGAAAATATTCTTCTTACGTTATTGTAGGGTCCAATCAACGCCTTGTACAAACAAGACGAGAAATCCGGTATCTGCCATTCGGGTGTAGTGGCGTCTTTCATCGAACAGAGCCTGGACACTCGTTGGCCCACAAAATATCGCGGACACTCCAGTAATGCCTCTGATCCTGGAACAGTATCTGGCCATTGCAAGCCCCAGGATTTTCCGTTGACGCATATCGGTACTAACGTTCGATTCATGACCTCAACTCGAACGGACATCGATTTGTGCGCCACTTTGCAGGTATAGATCACCGATTTCTTGAACATAAAAAATTATTCTCTTTGATAGATCAATTTAATTTATCAATTATAATTTTCTTTGACACTACATCCATTGATTCTTAATGTTTATCTTGCTGTGATTTTTATAACCACGAGTCGAAATAAATTTGTACAGCGTTTTCCTCGATACCTGGGCATTGGTGATCTTTAAAATGCTACCCGCCGGATACAAGTCTTCCCAAACTGCTTGGCCGGGCTCCAGTTTCAGCAAAGCGCGATTCTTCGTCCAACCGAATCCGATATCGATGTTGTGCATGTTAGGGGTCATACATGTCAGTTGTATGTTGCTACCCTGCGCACAATCGTTTGTTCAAACGTGTTTTTTTTTTCTCGGAAATGTAATGTTCTCACGAGAGAGACTTACTTTTTCTATAGTGGCGCTCATCGGTATCACCTTCACGTCCGGATCGTCTCGAACTTCAATGTAAATACTTTTACACTGTTGCACACCCCAGTCCGTTACTTGACAAGTATACTGACCGGCATCGAGCAGAGTCGCCTTCGTAATTATCAACATCGACGTATATACGTCCCCGTCGTTTGGCAACTGGGCAATCCATATTTCTCTGAGAAAGAGACAAACAAGTAATCATTTTAACATTAGTTCTATTAGATCTTTCTGATTTTCGAACTTCTGAAGAAAACGAAACTTCGCAAATTTTTGAGCTGTCGATCGTTCGCGAGATTACCTGATAGCTTTACTCGTGTTCACCAGCATGCCGTCTTTGTACCAGGTAAAGTTTGTGCTGTAGCTTCCTTGTGCTATGCACGACAAGGCGACATATTCTTCCAAGTGAACTTCGTAGTCGTTCACATTAGGCTCGTTCAGAAATAGACTCTAAAACGTAACATTTTGTTTTACAATATCTCCCAATAATTAGCTCGCAATGAAACGCTCTCTCAAAAACATTAAGTAACGTTAGATAAACAAAATTTACATTGAATTTTTTTTTTTTTTTTAATTTATAAACAGAGGTGTTAAAAATTTTATTTTTTTTATCGCACTTTTATTACCAGTACCTGTAGTCTGAGCGCTGGTTTTTGCTGAAACGTAAAATGCGTAGATTCCAACGCGATTTCGCTGAGGCGCCGACGCTGCACGAGTCGATTGAGTGATTCACGTATTTTATCTCCATCGTCGGAATTTCCGAAAAAATGGAATGTTACCTCAGCTGTGGGTCTGTTGAAAGAAATACAGCCCGCGATGAAACGCGGCCGTCTAACGGTTTTTTTTTTTTTTTTTTTGCGTAAAACAAACAGATATTCAAAATCTCAAAATTATGTATTTTTATAATTGATTGTGAAATATGACTGGGAAATAATTATTCCGCATCAAAAGTGTTTGTGCAATCTTCGTTAAAAATCTGCATAACTCTTATCCCTCGAATGTGTACCTACTCACGTCACGCTCAGGATTTTTAATTCCTCCATGGAAGTGATATTAGAATTCCTTAGGTATTTCGCAAGCTACGAGAAAAATTCTAATGAATTAAGCTCGAATAAAATTATCGGCTACAAGACAGAGAGAGAGAGAGAGAGAGAGAGAGAGAGAGAGAGAGAGAGAGAGAATATAAATAGATAAAATTAGAAACAAGGAAAATGAAATCGAACTCTCTTTTGTTTGTTTGCATATAAATGTAATCTTATCGAGTATTGTACAGTTTTATATTCTTGTTCTTTGATATTCACTGTTGTTTTTTTTTCACACAATGTGTTGTACAAATATTGATTAATTATTACATAACAAAACTCGTGCTTACAATTAAAGAGTATACATATCACTGAATCATATATATTTGTCAAATTTTCATATTAAATGACCCAATGCGTACAGTACTTAATATTACTTGATCGAGTGATTTTAAGATCACTCCTTCGGGTTACAAATCTCCTCGCCTTAATCATAATAAATCTTTTCATTTTAAAAAATTTTTTTACAAATCTCATCAGCTGCGTTCACTTTCTGCACTCGGTAGCTCTCCAAACATTTACAGCGCTGACAAAGAAAAGTAGAAAACAACAAATTTGGAGAAAAGTACAAAAAGTGCCATCGACAGCTAATACAGATAGATCTTGCGGCAAGACAACTCGCAGTTTGCACAAATGTCTCTTCTCAGCACGTTTACTGAGACACTTCAGGCACGTAGTGTGCCGGGACGAAGTCTCTTCGGCCTCTCGTTCATTGCGAAGACTTTCCTGAGATCATTCATAAGCAATCTTCTTCGAGTCTTCGATGAAGAAAACAGGCGCGCTAGACCCATTCTTTAGTTTTATTTCTCATAAACGGCGCTCCGAGCTTCAATCCGGCAACTCGAGTAAAAGTGGATCGTCCTTGGCTATCAGAACGCACGACATGTCCGTACTTCCGGGGCACAGGCAGTCCCGTATCTTCTTCTCGGACACGCTCAGCACTTTGATGCCGATCTCCCGGCAATACGCTTTCAACAGCGTCATCTGTAGGTGACTGGCCGCGTCCATCGGCATGTCGAAGGGCACGAGACAGATGCTGCCCTGACAGTCGCATCCTCGCGAGGCCAACGCGCGCAGAGTCGGCAGCATGCCGCAGCTGATTGTACCACCCCGGCGCTTGTCCTCGCACCACGATGTTTTTGCGCTGGAAGACATTCTCGGATTAATCATTTGCGCATCGTTGCATCGTTATATAAGCATGAGACATGACGCGACAATAAAGCAATGCTTGGGATTACCCGCCGCTGAAGTTTTTCACGAAGCGCGATGATAAGGCAATTACTCGGACCCAACGTTCTCGGCGGCTATGTTCCCCCGCAACTTGGATTCGCGCGCCAGATAACAAGTTACCACAGTGTCAAGGAAACTTTCGCGCAAGAGGTTTAGATTGTGATCTGATAATCAATTTTTGCGATATCGAAGATACGAAAAAAAAAAAAAAAAGTGCCGAGTAATATGTCGCGAGATAAAATTCTAGATTGCACAAGATGTAACAATCCCTCTGTCGTTCGCAAAGACAAGATAAATCGAATCAATCCGTACAATTCTCTCTCGTGTCGTGACCAAGCATTTCTTTATCATCACTAAAATAAAAAAAAAAAAAAAAATCAGGCGCGAAACTTTTTCACGAGTTGTTGCGCGACCGCCAACATGTGATTTATTTCGGGAAGCTAGCTACCTGTCAGCCATCGTGATTTGCGTGTGATAGACTCGTGTTTCCTGGCAGCAGGTCATATCGGTCAGTAGATCCGCTTGATCGGGCGTTTCTTCACTCGTCAAACCTCTCTTGCACACTTCACTGAATGTGGGAATTTTCACGGTTTCGTTCGACTTGCTTGTCGGACGAATTTTCAGCGTTGTCCTGGGACTTTAAAAAAGCTCCGAAGCTCTCTCCTCCACACTAGAGTCACAATCCGCTTTCTCTTCGTTCTTTCACTCGCGACTCAGCTTTCTGACGCAAACTCGTGCAACGCGTTTTCTTGAGGAAAGTTCTCTCTCGATTGATGTCCCACCTCACCGCGAGCCACCGATTACTGTGTGATGACCTCCGGGCGCTCCGTCCGCGGCTTTTATAGGCGACGGTTCCCCCGCCAGTTGCGTCGCGACGTTCGTTCGTCCCCACCGGTTTCATCACATCGGGAATACACACACTTCGGGATAAACCGCGTCACAGCGTAGCTGTCGCGGTATGTATGTATACTTATGTACGTACGTACGTAACGACGTACTTTTTATCAGTACATACACGTTCAATGGAAATTTTTTTTTACTGGGAAATCCGAGGAAAAACGTTCGCGCGATCGTTAACCCAATTCGATCCTTCCGTATTAAATTTCCTAGAGAGAGAGAGGGGGGGAGGGAGAGAATAGGAGAAGAAATTTCGGATGCTGGAATACCGGTTCCGAGAACGCGAACGTTGCAACCGGGAGAAAAAGAGATGAATAATGAATAATAAAACGGAGTAAAGTCCATTGATGTTGTTGTCCAACACATGACACATGATACACACGCAGAGACATGATAATGAAACGTACTCTTCAAACTGAATTTTTTAGTGTTTAATTGCGAATCATTTTTTTTTTTTTTCAGGAGACAAACACGTGCGAGCACACTTAACAACACAGTCAGATGCGAGTTATTTCATTCAATGAGAAATTCCAGAAGATAAGGAACAGATGTCGTGAGAGAAGGGAAGAACATTTAAAACAAACCCAAGGGAATTTCTCATATTGTTATCCGCTCGAACGCAATAACGTCGTCCCACTTGCACACTGATCGATAAACGAATACACAAGTTCATGCGACTTTGTTCTTTGCACACGTACGTTCGCACGTGTAACTTTCGACCGATTCGTTGAAACGTTGTAAGTTCAAGGTAAGCTTATGAAGAACAATTGTTGCGCAATTGTCTCTATTTCTATTTTTATGCGAAAAGAAATTACGTTGTCTGCATGTGAGGCTTTATATAAAACCAAAAGTAATATAAGAAGCTGTGTTGCTGGAAAATACAAAAAAAAAAGCTGACAAACAACTTTGTTTTTTTACAGACTTAAAATTCTGCGACTACATCTGCAGTGGAAAACACAGGCGCGTGAATTCCGCTAATCCAGCGAGCGTGATAAATATTTTATTAATACCGCGATTTGTTCTAAAGAGAACATGAATAAAAAAGCGATCATCATCCCGCATTATTGAAGTTTACAGTGGGAGGAAAATTTCAACGGAATCTACCGAGAATCAAGAGACGCGTCAGGAAACATAATTACTTAGCGGCAGCGCAAACAAAATTTTCATCGGCGACGACCGAGAAGTGACGGTCAGGTCAGGGTTGATGTACAGGGGCGCGTTATATATCAATACGTTATATATCAATGTCACGCGGATTATCTAACACAATTTCATTTGTTACATTCAACTCATTTCGATTCGTAACACACGCACGTCATTCTTAAATGTAAAATCGCCATTCATGATGTATAGTTACGCACACTAGCCTTTTAAGCTAGTTCGTTCGGCGAGAGCTGATGGAAAACAAGTCGAAAGATCAAAGTTCAAAGACCGAGTAAAGAAAATCTCGATCTCACATTGCAAATTGTTTTATTTACATTTGAAAGAAAAAATTTGAACCGGGCTTGCAAAAATTCTTTACGGCCCGTTGCATCATCGCGCGCACGTATCTGATGTCAACGATCCATCGTCTCGCCATTTTCCCCCAATCAGGAATAGCCACGTCGATCGATCGGCAATACTATTATTTCGGTCAGTGAACTGTTTTATTTTGGACAAACGGCCATCTTACGTGTGTCACACTTTCTCGATCGATCGCACGCACACGTATATGTAGTAAAATTTCATATATTATATATATATGCCCTACGAAGATGATGCAAGTCATGGATACTTTGTTCTGACGTGTTTCATCAGACGTGCAATTTCCGCGATAACGGACTTAACAGTCCCACCTGTTGGGAAGAGACATCACGCGCCGAACACAGGACACCTCCTGATAAATGTAAGCGTGCCACATGGCATTGTTAATTTTATGATACACAATCTCGTTTTTGCGTTAAAAACGTTTATATATAGCATATGTAAAATCTGATTAAAAACAGATATATATATATATATATTCCTGTATTGTAATCGCATCGTTTACACAAGGTTTGAATATGTTACACGGTGAGATGTGATTGATGCAAATAGACGGTGGAAAACACACGCCGAATCAAACACACATTACGCGTAGCTTTAATAACAATGACAAATTTCAAAAGGACAATTACATAAGTTTCATATATACAACTTCTATTTCGATCGCGTATAAAAAACCACAGAAACGGAAAGCTTTCGTAACGTTCGTTACGTGAATCATCCGCTTTAAGATAATTAATATAACTGGACAAAATCTTTTAATATTGTCTCGAAAGAGAATACGTCCGCGTAACAGACACGTTTGTTTCAACATGACATAAGGATTACATCGAGAATTACATTAGCAAAACAAGCATTTTCGCAATTAAATCAAAAATAATAAGCATCAAGGAGATGATTAAGTTTTTAAAAAAAGAATTAAAAAAAAAAAAAAATGTATAAAAATTCAGATAACAAGTGTTCCAAGAAGAAATATTCTAAACAAATTTATGTATTATAAAACGTATCTTGTAAGTCAAAACAAATTCTTGAAAATTCATTTATTTATAACTTTTACGCGCCGCTTGTTGGGAAAAAGATGGAACGAAACTTTAACCGGTCAAGAACCTTTTATCCAGGTTCTTTCCCTTCGTATCTGTCAACAGCATAAAAAAATTTACCACGTATCCAAGGTTAACGGGAAAATCCCAAGGTGTCTGGGGAACGTAGACGGTGACTCTCCAGGTTTTTTCACATTAAAATCGATCGTTCATAAGAGTCGTACAATCACAATATATATACGTATAAACGATCGATTACTCGAACACTTTATTCTCCGAAGCAGTAATTACCGAACGGCATTAATTAAAAAGTACCAAAATTTGTATCGATTGTTGTCAGTGAAAAAATGAATGATAAAATGTTGCAAAGATAAACGACCGGGGAAATACGTGCTAAAAATACGCGTTTAATAAAAAAAAATAAAAACAAAAATAAATGTATCTCATTCAAAAGCGTTCGGAAAAATATTTTTCACGCAACACGTATCTCATGATTATTTCAAGACGAAATATGCAACTAGAACTATTTTTGTATTTATAGACACAGGTTTTCCTCGTAATTTTCTCGTGACTTGCGAAACATTGTGTACACGTAAATGTAAATTTCCTTGGGGGAATAACTGCTACGTAAATGCAACCTGCACATAGATATAACGTATTAGAATAAAAACAAAACAAAATAAGAAAAATTAATTTCCGATTAAAAACACGTTGTGTAACATGTGCATGATATGTTTAAAAATTAATTTATTATTTCACTTATTATTTATTAATTTTTTATTTTATTGCTTATACATGCATAAAAGAAATATATGTATAGTAGCAATATAATAAAAAATGTACGTACATATGTACATGTTAACCTTGATCAAATTATCAAACTCGACAAAAATTGACATTAAAACAAAATATTAGTTCGTACTCTTGTGACTCTCGATTTAATCAATGAATAATCTTATCGTTACGAGACAAAAAGTTATCATTCATCATACATATGACCGTATAATCGCGTTACTAAGAAAATCGCTTATCGCGGTGTCTCAGAGAGAGAAAGAGAACAGAAATCATCAACGCGTTATTATATCTGCTTCTTTAATTAATGTTTATAAAACAACATCTGATTCCTGGATAAATTGTATTTTTAGATTTTTCCACGTATATATTATTATACAAGCTAAAATTAGCACCTTTTTTCAGATATCAAGGACGATGATCATCAGAAGAGTTGTGTGTTTGAAGAAATGTTTTATCGAACGAAAATTTTCAAGAAGCGCGAAGATCACATGGGACGCTTTCTTACGCAACAACAACGGCGGAACGTCGCTCAAGAAATTCGTCGTAGAACATTATGACATAGCTAAGGCAATTCTAGAAAATACCGAGATCACTCGGAATCATTTGACTCCGGAAGTGAAGCTGTTTTTACTGACAGAGAACTGTCCTTTGTACTACGAGTCTTTCCATGAGAATGGAAAATTCGATTCTTTCACCAGAAACATGTTCCAAGACTCGTTCTGGTCTGTATATTGGCCAGGAGGACAAGCACTGACGAGATTTATTTTTGACGAAAAGAACGAAATTTTAAAGAACAAAAATACAAGACTCGAAGCGAAGCGAGACGAGTTAAGGATCTTGGATTTAGGCGCGGGATGCGGTGCTACGGCGATAGCTGCGAAATTAACGATCGGATCCTGCAAGATTGTCGCGAACGATATCAACAAAGGTCAGTATGTCAAGCACGATCATTAATGTTAGCAAGAACGCTCGCGGCAATGTGTGTGACAAACAACCATTAAAAAATTCTTACAAATGAAGATCGCATTATGTACAAAAATTAAAAAAAAAAAAAGGTAATATTAAAATAAGATCTATCCGGAATTACATACAGTTATAATGAGACTTTAAAGAGCGAAGTCAAAAGCCCTGAAGAAACAATATTACTAATGTATCAAAATAGACGCCTGTGTATATTTCAGATATACAAATTTACATTAATTTCACGAGATATCTCGACAAAAACTAAGTGTATATATATATATCAGGAAACCGGAGTTTTTATATAAGTATTCCACATGTGGTATTGCTCGACCGTAATAGCAACTGTCCTTGTGGATAACACGACCGATACGGTTGCCCGGATATAAGAAGGGGGAAGCCTGTAAGAGGACTAATAAGATAAATCTAATAATGGGAAAAAGTGATGATCGAAAGATAATCAATAATGTCGCAATAATGATAAGTCTTTAACCGTCATTACGATAAGTATGATATCGCAATATTTTTTGCAATGTCACTAACAAATCATAGAGCAAACAGTTATTGCTCTTAACAATTTTTCAATAAATGTTAAAGATATAAGTGCATTCTCGCTTTAAAAAATAATACCATATGAGCAATTTGTCATATGAAATACACTAAGAGAGGACGATTGCAACAGATCGTACATCTATCAGAACAAACATATCGGTATCGCCGATAACGCGCGTGTGCAGAGTGTATTGCGTTTATTAACCGCTTCTGCGAAATGATGAAGCCTACTGTGTCGAAAGAGAAAGCGCACAAAATTCGTCGAGCCGTCGAGAAGAAAGATATGCGTGTGTGCATTCGGGGAAGTGGACTTGGACCGTCCCGATTTTGCGATTTCGGCGAAAGAGCAAAATTGCAACAATGTTTTAATATATTCGGTGGAAATTAACATGAAACTAGAGAAAATTGACATGAAATTAATTGTGAGAGTAGTAGCAAATTTATATATAAGTTACAGATTTTTGGTGTATCTCGTTTGTTATTTTTTGCTATATGTTATGCTTTTTAGGATTTACTCGGACTTGAAACTTAGCGATTTTTGCTGACGTAATTAATGGGATTTTCTGGATAGCAAAGATTCGAAAATATTCTCGCAAAAAAGATAAACAATAAAAGATGACGATATCTTTTTTTGTCGCAATATCAATATCTTGTCATCTTTATCACGAAAATCTGCTATAGACTCTTCTTGTAAGAGCACAAAGATCGGAAATTTCATCACAATAGACAACCTGAGTCCAGAGTTCGTATACTTGTTTACATTACTAGCTAAAGAAGAGATGTAGAAAGAAAAAATAGAAGATACTCGAAAGGCGAAGACACCATAAGTATTGACGTCACTCCGAGTGTGCGTATGTGTACGCTTATGTCGATGAACAGATGTGCATATACAGCAGCAACACCGCGATAATAGATGCGAATCCACGCGGTCAAGACCGGATTCCATAGGATATGATTCAGACAAGAACGCGTCTCGGATGCGCCAACATGTTCACGCTTCGCGTGCACGGCGTGCCTGCGATTGTCAGGAATCAAAACAACACTGATACCGATTGTCGCATCTTGTCGTTCTGCGCACTATACGCGGAATTGGGAGAGTGTTTCATGAAACTGTATCTACTCAATTAGACCTCAGACAGATCGAATAACTTTCCTGCTGACGTTCTCGGTCTTCCGATTGGGTCGCCTTTGTCAGTTATAGCAAGGAGATCGTTGACACGTCAATATTCCCGACTGTGCAACTATTCTGCGTCACAGAGCGAATATTTTTCAACAACATAATGCGACTCGCGTTAATATCCGCGAATCATATTCAGGAATTTTCCGATTGTTATTCCGTCAATAATCAAATGCTTGTTAAAATCTTTTTCCGAAGAATTTAAGTTAAAAGTTTAGAACATTTTTTTCTGCGAATCAACAAATTGAAAAGTTAACGTGACAATCCATTAGATTCTTGTCATCATTAAGAAACGTATCATGTTTCGTTCCAAGGGCCAAACAGGACCCAACATTGGAATGTAGGACACTGCGTAAGACGCGGGGATTCCCGCATCTTACGCAGACATCAGATGAAAGGGTCGCTCGTGCGTCAGTGAAAGGCTGTCGATTCTTAGTACTGCATCCACGTAACATGCCGATCGATAAACTGTACTTTCTCAACAAAATAAAAAAGCATTGAATAATATTATTTCCTTATGAAGAAGTTGTTCTTTCTTCAGTAAAATTGTTGCAAAACGTTATTGCAATACGTTATTGAAAACAACACAATTTCAGAGTTTGATAAATCACTATGTGATCTTATTATGATATCATGAACTACAAATGTTTGGAAACACAGTTTGAAGAAGGAGAAATACGATACGTATCGTTGCGACTAAAAGTTTTTGCTAAAAACGCGAATAAAATTTCTAAGAAAGTTTTTTCACGTCTTTTTGTACGAAGAAATTTCATGTATGTATTTTCATATGAAGGACAATAATTCCAGAGTGAAAATGTCGTGTGTGAGAAGAAAATGGGGCTTTCCAATATCATTATTTATTCAACGAACTTCATAATTCACAGAATGCGATTTTTGTATACAACGTTTTATAAGCTGGCACGCTTTTGGCACTTGAATCGATATGAGTCAAGGACGTTTTAGGAACATATATTTAAACACGAGATCGCGCGCGATTCCCGTTCCAATGTTCGCGAACGACGAAAGTCAATTATCGCTAGCAACACAAACTCAATGACATAATACAATATATCGAATATTGAGATCAATGTGCAAAAATCTCAATATCTCTTTCATTTATCTCTACATATTTGCAACGTAAAGAACGCTAATTGTGCTTTAGAAGTTTTTTCTACAAAAAATGAAAAAATTAGTAATAATTTTTAAGTATGTTTAACAAGAATATATAAAATGTAACGAGACAAATCGACTGCAATGATTTTTTAAAAACCGATCTGTATCTCAACTTGATCAAACAATAAAACAAAAAACTGATGCCAATAAAATATGGAAATATTCGCGAGCGAATATTCACGAGCTTATCTATTATTAGAACACGTATGAGAACACGTGATTTAGAGAGGACTATATCTAATGTCTGTACACAACGCGGTCAAGTACCTCTCAAAATCTATTTCGCAATTCTATCGCTAAGTGGACATTATATAACTACAAATAGCATTTTATGGTTTACATGTATATTTTAATACCCGATAACTTATTGATATGATTTTTTGTTTCAGTTGCTTGTGTGGCCATTGCGATGAACGCAATGTTAAATAATGTGGACATCGAAGTATCTTGGGCAAATCTGCTGACAGGCTCACCTGAACAACCGTACGATCTAATTTTCGTCGGTGATTTGCTGTATGACGAGGAAATGGCAAATAATCTAATTACATGGCTGGAAAAGGCACACACGCGAGGTGCACGAATTTATTTGGGAGATCCGGGAAGGCATGGGTTGACTGAAAATTTCAAGAAGAGAATGAGATTGCTCAAACGATATTTTTTGCCCGAGAACGTCAGGAAAGAGAATTACGGTTATGACACAGCTACCGTGTGGGAATTTCAACAAATTTGAATGAAACTGACGACATTTATAACGTTCAATTATGAACTAAATATAATTTTTTACCAAGTCATAGATTTTATACTCTACTAGATTATTTTTTGTTATGGAATTAATATATGTTCGCATACAGATTGCGATAGTTGATCAACTGATTGCTCTTTAAAGATTTATGTGCTTAGATTGTTAAGCAATTGTGTTTGTGTGTTCAAATGTGCGTTCTTTAACATATTGACGCACAAACCTGCTTGCGACACATAGTTTCACAATTTTGCACTCGTACAACGGTTGTACATCACGTGTTAGTGTATATACAAATAGTCACGTGCAAGCGCGTATTTTTATGTGTAAAAACTGCCTCAAAAGCAGCAGCAGAGAATTCATATTGTATGGTATACAAGCGATTCATTATATAATATAAAGTTAAGTAGTAATTTTCGCATAAACACTCGTTCAATGTATTCGCGATAAATAATCTTATCGCAAATATTTATCACACAAGATGATCGTTGCATCGGTCAAGTACGATGCGACGATTGTTGAATATAAACGATGTTTTATTTTCTTATCAAACAATTGCGCAAGCCACGCAATTTTTGGCTTTTCCACTCACCTGTTTACTGACGAACGATTCCAAACTTCCGTGTTGAGATACTAAACCATTACGAAGAGACGTAACGTTGGACAACTTGATTCTACATTCGTATCTCGAACGATCTGTAAATACAATGTCCATGTGTCGCATACAGAACGTTCGCTACTCTCTTTACCAAATGTTTCAAACAAAAATGTTTGAGAAAATCTACGTGTAAACTAATAAAAAAAACTATATGTAACAAAATTGTAAAACTTACTGTTGTATATCTTTGTACCGTCTTTACAAATGCACGGTTGTTGTTGCTCATCAAAAGGACATTGCAATATGCAATGTTCTGAAGCGCATTCTACAACAAAAAAGAGCATATTTTAATTTTAAAATTCATGTGGAATAAACTTTCGCAATTATTCAGCGAAAGTTTTTGAGACACATAATATCTTAGTTCGCAATTCACATGGCGTAATTAAGAGAAATATGTAGCAACTCAGTAATCTTTCTACCAAAATAGAATATATAAAAATATCTTATCAAGATAAAGCATTACCTGTGTCCAGCATATCCAAAAGACGAGTTTCGCACTTGGGCCCAACATATCCGTTCAGACAATCGCAATGCATCGCTTCTGCTCCTATTTGTCTAAGATAAATGAGGTAGTTTGCATGAGTTTAATCACAAAATAATAAAATAAATAAACAATTGATAGTGTTAGTTTTTTTCTTCTTATTGGCTCTTGCACAATCTCAATACAGAAAAAAACAATCTAACGATTTCACGGAATTTATAAACAAGAATCAAAAAGACCTTCACACGACAAAATTTTAGACATAATCTTAAATATTCTTTAATACTAGTCACTCGACTCGATTTTTGAAAATTTCAATTTTTTTATATAAAAAGAAAAATCTGATCAATAAGAGCAAACGTAGGTATATTAAAAAACTTTTTATGATGACTTTATAATAAAAAAATAAAACTCGGTTTTTCATTTAGAACTCAAGTATGTAAACTAAAATATATTTATCCTACTATGCGTTTTATAAATGGTTCAAAAAATATATTATATATTAATATTGTTAATACATTTAAACACCATTTATGCACCTGCAAGTAGCTCCATTTTGACAAACTAGATCGTGTTCCTCGTTAAAGCATAATGGGCCTTCGTTGCAACTAGCACCATTAAAGCCGTTAAAACAATCACACGAGAAAGATCTGCGAACAATAAGATGTAACAACAATTATTTGCACTTTTAGCATATTCTTTACTTTAAACATATTTTGTGTATAACTACATTACAAGTACCGCTTTTTTAAGAACTTACACTATCAATAAAACAGAACACACAGTTGGTTTTTTTTCACTGAACTAGTGCAACTAGTTCAGAGTTTATTTTTTTCACTCTAAATGGAAGGAAAAAAGATAAACTCTGAACTAATGTGACCAGTTCAGCAAAAAAGAATAAACCAAGTTTCTCTACAGAAACTTTATTAAACGTCCATTAAGAACTATGTACAATCGAACTCCTCAGTTACTATTGTATTCCAATAATGTTCGCCAATATTGGGCTGTTTGTAAAATTTTCTTACTTAGGCAGTTATAGTTTCCGAAACAAAAGAAATTCTAAAAAAGCGTCTTTTGCAAATTTGATAAAGAAACTTGTTTGCGCATGAGTGAACTTGAAGGGCACAGATTACCATAGGGTGCTTCAAGCAAGATACTGTGTAAGTGTGAGTAAGACACACTGATATGCTCTTTCTCACACTAATGGACACTGTGTTACACTGTATTTTCCTAAGGACCATCCATAGTAATATAAACATAAAAATATATAAACATAAAAATTAGCCAATCATAAGGTAAAACTTTTAAATAAAAACTTTTCGAATCATAAGGCTACCACTTTCAACTATAAAATAATTAGTCAATTTATATGGTATCTTACATTAAGACTACAATGATTAGTGTGTAAAGACCTTAAGAAAACTGGTTTACAAGTGTCGCCTCTACAAAAAAGAGAAAAAAAAACACACTCTAACTTCTTCGTTCACACGCGCGCTAACGTTCGTTTGCGCGCTAATTCAGCTCGGAATTGAAGCACGTGGCAAGAGAATACATTTTATCTTAAGTAAGTAGGTTTTTAATATTACACATCATTACTTTCTTTTCAAATTAAATTAATATGATTTAGTGTTTTGAATATTTAATAAAATATATTTATATAAAACAATTATTAAAAGCTTAGCTCAAGTTTTATTTTACGTAAGGTTTTAATATTAAAATATTATTCTGTTCACACAAAAATATATAATTTTAGAACTTTTAAATGCTCTCTCAAATAAACAAAATTCTATACAAATAACACAGAAATTATATTTTTGCAATGGATCATATATTTTACAAATTCGATCAATATTATGCACACGCATGCAATATTATTATAGGTATAAATAAATAGAAGTCATGTATTTTATGTTCATAATCATGTGTTATTTGTATAAATATTTCAAATAAACATTAAAACATATTAAAAATTGATGATCATCCATTCGGGAAATTCCTGAGGTTAGGAAAATTACCGTGTTAACTGCTTTAACTTAAAAATATATTGTGCAATTCCAAAAATGTTAATTTTAGTACATACGAAGAAATTGTCTTATATTGAATATTGTCAAATCTGAAAGTTAGTTTTTACACCAAAAAAATACAAATTTTGCAGAGCATTTGCAGAACAAAAAGAAACTCGAAAATTTTTCGCTCTTAGACAGTGATTCTCATTCAACATATACTTTTATTTACGCTATCTGTTATAATGTTTCTTGATTAAAAACTCACGTGTAATCTGCTGTAACAACGCAATTTCCAGCAAACGAACAATCACGTACTGTGCAGGATTCAGGATTTGGCCGTTCTTCTGTTATTTCATAAGTTATGTTAAATCCGTACACATCCAGTAAATCATTCAGTACTCTCACATGACTCCCTTCTAGTCGATCCAGTTCGAATTCAATTACCAAAAACGGTCGAAAAGTTCGGATTAATTGGTGTTCAAAGACGTTGCCTTCAGTTACTTCTTTAATCAAGGCAGCTCCAAAATTCATAGTGTCTGATTCGTAATAAGCATATTCCGTAAAACGCAATCCTTTGTACACATAGAGTTGTGTCAAATAAACGACGATAGAACTATTGGTAGAAGGAATATCTGATGCATCGATCACCCAGCAACACTTGATAGGAACAGGAAATAATCCAGGGAAATTTGTTGTGTAGATAAGCCCTCTTGAGCTAGTCAAGTGACCTCCGCAGGAGAAGTCTGCCGTAACACTTTCTACTTTTCCACAGAAGAACGGAAAAAGAAGAACTAAGACCACAGGTATGTTCATCTTTGGCGAATCTATCAGAAAATAATAAGAAAAAAATAATGCATGATGATAAGAGATAGTTTTTATGTTATACTCTGACAAATTCAACATTTAACTGTAATCTGTGCATTAGGTTTTTATAATTAAAGTTACTAATGGAGAAACAGTAACAAAATCAAAAATATAAACAAATCTTTGTTGTTTTTTAAAACATATGTATAAATTTCAATTATTTCACGATGTTGAAATATTGTGCAGCTTGAAAGATGTGCAATTTGTGCAATGTGATTTTTTTTTTAAGTAAAACTGCACCATTTTGCATATATTTTATATTTTTTTATATTTTACAAATAAATTCATTTTTTATTCGTGTTTTTTATTAGTGTGTAACTTTGCAGTTTTATTTAAAAGCTTTATATATAACATTCTGATATACAATACATTGAGAATAATAATTGATATATAACATACACGGTTTTATAACTGAGCCACCAAATATTTCGATTATTTGAACTTAAATTGAAAAATGCAAACAGAAATACCTGCTCTTTTCACTTTTTTTGGCGCGGTATTCCCAAAAACTGAACAACCCAGTCGTTTCAATTTGTTTCCCATCGACTATCATCGACTATTCTTCAAGCAAAAGGACGACATTCAGATGTTTTACGTAGACAACTGCGAATCTCCAATTATTGGTTCCACTTACTTGTAAACACTTCCTTACACCTTTTCTCGACTACTTGGATCGTCTCCATCGCACATTTTTGAGAGATTTATTCACATAAGACGTGAATAAAGCGGGAAGATGATCATACACAGCTTTCGCAGGATTCGCGAAAACGACGACAGACTTACACGAACATAGCCGCAAACAAGCGACAATCAGCTAAATGAGCGATCGAAAGCCCGCGATGTATCGATACAACCTTGCGAGCGGGGTTGTGTGCACTGATAACTGTATTCTCGCGATAGTTACACCGCGGATACACAAGCGCCCTGCCGGGATGCTGGGCGCCGCCTTGTGTGCACCGGCCTCCCTCTTATCCTCTCCGCGACTTTCCACCTTCCACCATCAGACTGCGCAAACCCCTGCTCTTGGTTCACCCTCACACGCAATCTACATTTGAATACTTAACGTGATATAATACACGCGTTACAAAATGCGGACGTGTGGATGTTCTATCGTCGAGATGCGAAAAGAATGAGGAAAAAATCAATTCAGATATAATTGAATATGCTCTTCAAGAACTTAAATAATTTTATTTCCACAATCATCCATTCTGATATTCTTTCTTTTTTTGTAAGTTTTGAACCTTGAAAGTATTTCTCGAATTTTCCCTTATCGCGTTGACATTGAAGCAAAAATCGAAAAGCGAAGTTATTTAGGATCTCGAAATCTCAACTCCGAGAAAATTACACAAATAGCTACTTTGAACAAAAACCAGTTCGAAAAAAACTTCAGTATTGAATCTAGAGACATTACATTTCATTTATTTATGATTAAAAAAAAAAATAAACAATTATAAAAAGGAAAGTTCATTGAGAACAAAGTTGATAGCGCGATAACTCGATGAAAGGTCACACACGTTAATAAAGTTTATCACTTTCTGCAAGCGATGTTGTTGCTAAGAGATGTAAGCAGCAATTAAATGACTCCATAAGTACACAGTACCGGAGATATAAAGTCGGGATAGGAATTTTGTTTTGAAAACTCATTGGAATTCGTATTTGAATTATATAAACTTGCAAAATATTATACACGCAAGAAACACAATCGTCATGAAATGCGTAATAAAAAGTATTATGTATTTATTTAAATAAGAGAATAACATCTTTTTTTTTTGTTTATAATTTTCGGTTATAATTCATGTACACTTTTATTGAGAAAGGCAACGGTAACTGTTGTATCTTTTTCCTCATATGAAGAGCGAACGCGTCGCTATCTACATAATGCCCGAAAGTAAACTTCTTGCGGGAATTCGAATCTTTCGGCGAGGAGCGAAGAGAGCTGTACGTGCTTTTGTATGAATCGTAAACCGCAAGATCGGGCAAATCAACATCCATCGGCTCGCCCGTGTCCGTCGTATCAGTGATATCCGAATCCGAGTGATTGGTATTCGAACTAGTGGAACTCCCTTCCTCGCTGAGGTTCACATCGTCGACTATGCCACTGTCTGTTTTTTTGCGTTTCGCAATTTTCTCACGTTGCATAAAAACGCTTTCCTGTTCACCGTCGCTCTCGTTGTCACTCGTATCGGGATACACAAATCTCCGTTCCTCGTTATTGTTCTCATTTACATCGGCAGTCGCTGAAGAGCTGTGACCCATATCGGTGTCGTCCGTATCCGCATTCGAACGAAGAGGAATTCTACGAAAGAATTTTCTTTTCTGTTCGCGTTCGTGGAAGCTCGTGTTTGTCGCAGTATCTTGAGGTGTATCTTCGTTTATGTCGTTCTGCCGATCATCCTCGTCAGAAACGCGTTGGTTCTCCTCGCTCGATGCGTGTTCGCCTCTTTCGTTCGGAACTCGCTGATTCTCTTCATTCGAATTCTGATTCTCCTCGCTCGAAACTCGCTCATTCTGCTCATTTGAGATCCGCTGATTTTCCTCGCCGTCGTTCTGATTCGGTTGTATGACAGCTCGCACCAATTGCAGTGTCGTTGTGATTGCGTCTACAGGATGGGAATTCACGTTCAACAAAAGACGCGCTCGACCGGCAATGTCTTGCTCGTCGTCGGTTAGAGCTTCGTCGGATTCCTCAAAAATAGGTATAACGAAACGACTGAGGGTACGCTGCTGCGCGGACTGTCTCTGATGTATTGGCAATATACGTTTTTTCACCTCGAGATTCGAGTGTTCAAACCAAATATTTTGACGTAAACGGTGTCGGATTTTACTGCGACATAGCTCTTGCAGTGACAGAGGATTACATTCCGCTGTAAGAATTTCAAAAATATCGTAAAAGAGATATTGTATAAAGCATTTATTTGAAATAAAATACGAGCTTCTACGTACGTAGATGAAGCAAGTTTTGTTCTGAGGGTGGAGGCACGACTAGAGTCGAAAAAGACACTGGAAGCAGTGAATGCTGCGACCAACCATGTTCCGTTCTCTTCAAACATAACAACTGATCCTTGTAAGGCATTACCAATATACCACCCACACGCACAAATTGCTTGATAAAAGTCTCGTGACTTTCGGGACAAGCCGCTCCGCAATAAACTCTGTCGTATTGTCTACCAGGTATGATACTCAGGCAATTTCCTATTGATTGTGTTATTATGATGTGACAATTCGGAAGGAATCAATCAATCTATCTCCGTAAAATTCAAGAAAACTGTCTTACCTTGTATAAACATTGGTTCGCAAAAATCAAACTCATCCAAGGCCAATGATTTTTGCTTGAACTCTTCCAGTCTTTCATATGCATATCTTAGACAATCTTCGTGTAATTCAATTCCATGATTTGTCCCGTGTTGTTCTAAAAAAGTATCAAAAATATTACGTTTATTCAAAAGAGATTCGGTAAAACATTAGATTTCTTACGTAACAATAGTCCTGCCATTGTACTGAGATAGCCTGTTCCCGATCCAAGATTGAGAAAACTCATGCCTGGTTCTAAACAGAGTCCCTCCAATACTTCACTATATATACAGGGAGCAGATAAATGTATGTTTCCATGTTTCCAAGCCAAATCCTTGTAAGCACTTTCTCGATAAGTGGACAAAACATAGTCGGCTCTGTCCACAGCTCTAAATACTTGCTCCACTTCCTTTGTTTTGATGTATCCCGAATCTATTAAATTGTCTACTAATTCGTCATTGTCATGTCCACTACTCACAGCTCCTCCCATATTTATATCAAAATATTAAATGATCTGTAACACATAAAATGTATACACATAGTAATAATTAAAAACTAATTGAAATAAATTAAAAATAATTAAAAAATATTACTAAAACAAAGGATTATCACATACTTTAGAAATTAATATAACAGATCTGTTTTCTTATTAAAGACTACTTAAATATTAAGAATTACATAAACTTGTATTATGCATCAAGTAAACCAAGACTTTGTAAAAATATTTGATTCTTGAAAACATGCAGTAATAAGCAAACTATATGCTTACATATTTGCATATCACCTATCATTTTTTTTTTTTTTTACAAGATAACATTCATAAAAAGAAATGATTCAAGAACAATGAACTGACTAAAAAAAAAAGGTTTCTGCAAATTTTATTTTAAAACGATTACTCAAACGTTTTTGATGTAACAGCAATTATTATTTGTAAGCGCGTTATTTGTAAGAATATAAATTTTTCACAAAAATATTAAAAGACAATATAATAACTTCCACATTTTCCCAGTTTGAATAACTTGGCCGGTCAAAGTATAAAGTATTAATTGTGAATAATATGAAAGCACGCGTCTGTATAATATGTGTGTGTGTGTCTGTAAATCAAATGAAAAAACAACATAGCAATATTGCCATCCGACATGGAGTTTTGACTAGCAATTTAATTATTGTTAATTGTCATATCACGGATGATGTAACAGGCGAAACAGCTTTAGCTTATTCCGAAATGATAAAACGCGCATTAAATCGCACGCGATGAGAAAGTATGCAACCGATGTTTATTTACGATAACCAAGTGTCCACTCAAGTTGCTCCTTGTCTCTTTCTCTCTCTCTTACGACGAAATGATATGACAGACCTACGCGCAAAACCGCAACTCCGATAATCGGCAAAAGTTATTACGAACTCGCGAGGCACACTCGTGAATTCGCCAGTGTGTCAGTCGTGCAGAATTTTCGGCAATGTCCTTAGCGTGTGACGTTACATCGAAAAGTATTATGAACACACATAAGGTTAAAGTAAAACGCGTAACACGATATACGCACGTATAAGAGCGCAGCGACACACTTGTGTTTCGTTAACATAAGTTACGAGAGACACAACGAAAACACAACCTGACGTTGACAACACTGGACCTTGACGAATCGTTGAAACAGACAGAAAAACTCTCTTTGCGCTAACGCTCGGATGACGATGAAGAACGTTGACACATTACGGCATCGACAACGCGACACGATGTACTGCCATGACACACTGGAGAGCAATGGTCGGTTCGTGTGTTTTTATAACGCAAAAGATTCATCAAGTTCATCAGCTGATGTCGAAACACACGCGACGGTTATTCCTACGCCATTGTCCTCGCACAGTGCCTCGCAAGGTGGATTCACAATTCACGAATCGACGGTTGCGCGTGAAGGAGAATCGTTTTGAAAAGATGGCGGAAAAGGCGCATAATTCAAATGTATGGCGGTTCTTTTTTATGTACACACACACACGCACACGCACACGCACACGTATGGGACGTGTGAATCTTATTACATTGCGATAAATCTTCAATTATCTTATTGTTTTTAACATATGTGTAACATATAATTCTATCAGTTACTTTCATTTTGGAAAAATATTTGCAACTTTTTTTATTTTATTTTTTAAAGTTTCTTAATTATATATATATATAAATAAAAATATTTCAATCTAATATATATAATTTTAAATTGTGACAAATATTATTTTACATAAAATATAATATGTACATATAAAATTTATATATGACAATATTATATATATATATATATTATATATATATTTACTGCGTGGCAATATTGTAATGTGCAACATTACCGAGGACGTTTTGCAACCACAGATTCTTTATTAATGCGATGGAAAAAATGTTTTAGCAAATATTAGAAAATATTATCAATATTATCATGCATAAATAGTGAAGCGGAATTATGTGTTGGAGAATTGACAAAGAGCCGGTATTTTACGCATGCGCGGACTTTGTCTCTCACTCGTACCAATACCTCCGCTTCGCGCATGTGAAATTTGTCTTTTCTTCTAGTATCACTAGCTCCGCGCTTCCTATATATCTTTCTTGATTTGTATGACGATGACGATCAAACAATCACTTTAAAACGGGAGTCGCATATCCTTACAATTTTCGGCGCGTACCACGCGCCGTTTACGTGTAAAAATAGTTAGTTGCACTTATTGGAAAACGTCGGTCGGTCTTGTGTCATTCACAGTCTTTCGTTATCGTTCCCCGAGTGTGTGCATCGCTAAAATCAACGTTCTTTATATATAACAGACCGAAGCTCGTCCGTTGTCTCCAGTAAGTATATCACGATAGTATATGCAAAGAGAGGTGGTACACACATACATGTACACACAAACACACACCGCGTTTAATTGCATTCATACAACACATAGTACAACACGCATAAAAATTTCGGAAAGTAACAAAATGCGAAGTTGTGCAAAATTTGTGTACAGTCTCTTAGCTCTCCTACCGACGCTCTTACACACTTTTATATATACTTTACATGAGTATCATCGTTGGTATTTTTTTTTTGTTTTTTTATACACAGGTCGCTCGATCACGCACGAACACGTAATTTTATTTCAAAACCTGATAATTGTGCGTTATTTTACGCCACCACCCATTTAAACTGTATATCGATTCAAAGGCAGACATTTTTATGGTACTTTCTAAGAACTTTTCGGTTAACCTACATTATATTATGCAAAACTCGATATCAAACTCGAAGCGGATTTGTGTGTGTTTTCTCAATATAAAAATTATAATATCACGCATTAGTATATAACACACATATCGTGTATTGCACGTAAATAAAAAAGTATAATTTTATATACTCTGTCTCGAGAAAATCGTGTAATAAATAAATTATGCACATATATATATTATACGAAAACAATTTTATATCGTATACGGAACACACGCTGTCATTCGTCGAGACACGAGAAACAACGTTACAAAAAAGTTTTAAGTCATTGTTGGAAAAAAAAAAACTGTCCATGTATATATACATATATATACATTATATATATATATACACACACACATATGTACGTATATATATATATTGAAGTGACGATTTTATCGTTTTGCGACACGTGCATTGTTCTTTCGGATTTCACGTTTCACAAAGTGATAAAATAAATTATTGCACGTTAGTCTGATTTTCGTCAAAGCAGTAAAAAAGAAAGAAAGAAAGAAAAAAAAAAGAAAGAAAGAAACCTTAGATCGATCGCGAAAAAGACACGAAAGTCATATCTCAAAAGCGTCTCAAAGTATATTCGCCGTATCATTGCTGCTCTCACCTCAATTGTCAATACTTCCGGCAAGGTATACAACAAACGTATATCCCGTTGCACGAGTATATTTTCGCGGCTTAGAGGTTAAAACGCGCGAGTGTGCAACGAGCGCGACGGCGAAACGACGCGTTTCGTTTTTTATTTTTTTTTACATTCAACAAGACTCAGCTGACAAATCTGTCCTATCACGCGCAACGTGTGACTGTTGGGGGGGAAAGAGGATATTGATCAGCGAAATTCGGAAAAATCATCAATGAAACTCCGGTGTGTGACGAGGGATTTGGACGCGATGCGCCTGAATTCGCACCTTGTTTAATACAATCACATATATTATGTTGTATCGATAACGCCCCGTTTGCTGATAACATTCGTTCACGAAGTCCGTAAAATTAGCCGACCACAGAATCGAGCGAATACCCAACTTCGATTTCACATCGATATATCGCCCGTACGGGTTTCTCATTGGTCCGTGCATTTTCGACGATACGCACACTTCCTCCCTCTCTCTTTCTCTCTCCTCTCTTTTTTTCCCTCTCTCTTTTTTTGCTTTCTTTTTCTGTGCGTCCCAGTACCCATATAGCCACATCCTATTATCTTCAAAGTGCGGAAAGTGCAACGTGTAGTTAGGGAGAACAGATTTTAACTTGGCCCGTTGTTCCGTAAGGAGCTCTGCCATTCTCGAGTTCGTTTTCACAGCGAGCGTGTCGCATCTACGTTTAACTTGGTGCATCATGGCTGTCGCTTCAAAAATCCGGACACAGTAAAAGGTAAAAATATAAAAAAAAGATTGATAATTTTATACCTTCGGTGGTTTAATTTTTTATATTAAAACTGTTGATTTTTTCCCCGTTGACGTGTTCGTCGATACGTGTCGAGTGTGATCGATTCGCGTTTCTGTTCGAGCGTAAAACACCAACAAGTTTCGTGCAACCGAATATATCCACGCATTAGAATCAATAATCATCACGTTTACACGGAATGTTCGCAATTTCAATAATGCGCGCAGATTCGAGACCGCGTATTTCCGTTGCACGGCAATAAATTGAAATTGTAACAGAAACCACTGTTATCAATTTATATTCGTGTGTACGATATATTTCCTCATATAGATATTTGTATGATTCAAATCTCGCAGTTAACAAACATAGGAAAAAGAAATTCCTTGTTCTGCTCGGACTTTTTGTAAGAAAGAGAGAGAGAAAAAAATAAAAGACAAAAGGAACAAAAGAAGTTTGAGAAAATTCGAGCACGATAAGGATTGATATTGTTATCATTTCGGTAAGTTCGATTTGTTCGCATGTTTTTAGGGTACAGCAATATGTATATACATATATTATATATAATACATATATATATATATATATATGGCCGAGCGCCATATTGCCACTTGACAACATAGTCAGAGCAGGTTTGCGTCGGTTTTCATTACACGGATTTTACGTACAAATTATCTGTAACAGAGCAAACTCAATCGGTTGCCTCGTTTAGAGCGTGTTCTTAAAGTGAAAAATATCATGTGGTTATTTACGCACTGGGCGCTGTTTTGTATGTTAATTAATTTTTTACACAGAGTGACGAAATTGTCAAGCATTTTAAGTTCTTCGTTAATCTATCGCATGTCTGATACCGAACTAAAGTTACACATTGTTGCATCTGGTGGACTTTATAAGAAACCTCTATGGGAAAAGAAAGTCATTTTTTTTAACAAATAAAATTAAAACGATTAATTATTATTTATACGAGTATGAAATTGTGATTACGATTATTTACAAAATATATAATATTACATAAAATTATTTTACATAAAATTTAGTGTTTTTCTCTAAGGTGAGAGGAAAAATCTTGAAATTCGAGAATCTTCGATTATTTGTAACGATAGACTTTTTTTTACAAGTGAATGTTTTACATCTTGTAAAAAGATCGAGTTATCTGTTAGATCGTGCCAGACACGCGATGGGTTAAATCCTTGTCGTGTTTTGTAACTAAGTAGTAGTTTTCAGAATAGTTTTTCTCTCTCTCGTATCTTCTCTCTTTCTCTTTCTGTCTCTCTTTTTACTCTCACACGAGTAACTTTATACGTATTGACCAACGTACCTACACGAAAAAGTGCCAATGTGTACTTTTGTGCATTTCAGACACCTTGATCTTTCGAATGACTTGTCAGAAATTCAGAAAGCAACAAATATCTGAAATATAGTATATTATAAACCGCGCACTCTTTGTTAAATAAAAGGTTATATTGGTTGCTAAATATATCGTTTTACTTGGGAGAGTATTACTGAAAACAACTGAAAGAGATATATATGTATATATATATATATATATATATATATAGCAATAAAGAAATAAGGATAAAGATTTGTTGAAATATTTTGAATACAATTCTTTTTCTCAATCGAAGAACGCAAAGTTTATATCTTTGATCGCACATTGTGAATCGAGCACCTACAGCTGATGTTTGAAAACGCGGTGTAATCGACAGCATATACATATGGATACGTGTAGACCAAACACATTTTGTTCACGAGATGTAAATCTCTCACAAGTTCCTTTCGTTTTATTTCGTGAGATAACTTGATCGAGAGTGCGCGGGAGCAAGATACGAAACTCCATCCCGCAAACGAAATGCCTGGTTCACGTGTTCATTCGCGTTTATACAAAATGTCGATACACACACACAATTTGCCACGCTTCTTTTCTCGCAACGCGCGGGAGAGATTGTAACCGAGGTGATTTTCTTACGAAATATCCCGCGTGATCTCTCCGACGAGTGAATAAGCGCGAATATCGACGATACGTATCGATTCTTGTTGATTGATAATCATGAAACACGTTCCGGGAAAAACCAACAATTTGCTTAATAATAACGGATAAAAAATTTGGAAAATCTGTCGGTAACAGAGGCGACGCTGGCGGCGTTCGGTTATTGGCCGACACGACCGCGTACGTTCACTGTGCGGCGTTCTCGCGGCCAATAAGCGGCGAGCGGTTGCGCAGTCGTCAATGCGCAACTCGTTCATAGGGACGATTGAGACGCACGGGATAGACGGCTCGAACGCTTCAAAAGATGTGCAAAAATTTTTGTTAAAAGTGTGTGAGCTATGTGGTGATTTGTTTACAGTTTCGTGGACGGCAAAACGTCAATCGTGCGCGATTGGGTTCACGCGAACGGCAACGATCGCGTTCGTAAAACCGTACGCGAATCTATTATTCGGGCGAAAAGTACCGTACGTGCGCGCGGTGTCGTCAAGTCTCATCAATGAGTGGATACCGTGCGATTCGCAAAATCGCTTGAAACGGCATGCCCGTGACTACGTGCACGCATTTTCACGCACCCGCCGATGTATCTCTTCGTCCGCGACACGCAAAACCCGTCGAAGTCTCGTTCACGATGAATTTCAAAGCGTGAAATGCGGGAAACGTGATTGTCGTGATATTTGTTCCACAATAATTCGGCGCGCCATTTAAACGCGCTCTGCTCCTTCACCGTTTTCTGATGCGAATATTCACTGAACGTTTTTGACACGCGTGAACTCTTACTTTTGTGACACGTTGCACGAGTGTTCGCGCTTTTACAAACGAGGAATTTTTTCGATTCCCCGATAATTATGTAACTAGTTGCGACTTCGATATGTTGATGATGAATACTATGTCCACTAGGTTTGTAAAGCTGCATTTGCATTAGGCTTATAAAAGAAACGTATTGAGCAACTTTCTGTGCAGTATGTAATTTTTTAGTTATAACTTGATCTGAATTGATCCGAAAAATATTGTTGAAAAAAAAAGAAATAACGATCTACTGTGTAAAAAAAAGTTATGTTTATGCAAATTTTTAATTTGTAATTATTATGCAAAAAATATAAACACTGTTAGAACATTTCAAATACATTTTTTCAAATATATATTGCATTTTGATACTTATTATTTTGAATTATTGTGTTGAGATAAAGTACAATTTAGAATGATGATATTACAGTTATGTATGTTAACTTATACTAGAATTCACAAACAATATTAGTTGTATATTATGCTATTTTATAATCTTCTATTCTGAATATACATATACATGTATACACATACAGTGCAGTTGTGTATCATTTATGATGATAACTATGAAAGTTGAAAAAAAAAACATGTGTAATAGGTCTGTTTTAAAAACCTATTTCACCTTTTTACCAGAATGGAAGAAGAAATAGTAGTTGATGACATAGATGAAACCAGTACTGCGGATTGTACGCAGCAGGCGGATGAAACAGCACCAGTAATGCCTTTACTATACATTCAGCAAAATAAAGTCCATACAACACAGTCAGGCAATCCGAAACAAACTCTTGTTTCACCTAATACCCAACTTGCCATTATTAATCCAGTTAATAATCAGGTAAATACTGTAAAGTTTATCTGCATAATCTTGTCTTATTTCATTTAATTATTTTAGTTTAGTTTCTTGCACCATGTCTGGGACTTGGTTTTGTCTTACTTTGCAATTTATATGGCGTATATAAATTAAGAACCTAACTTGCACAGATTACAGTTATCAATATTTATATCTAGTGTCTTATGTAAGAGTGCTACAGTATATTCTATAGAAGTATCAAATAACTTTGAATAACCTAGAATTAAAAGTGTATCTTAATAAAATACATTAGAGTTGCACAAATACAAATGGAACAAGATGTGACAGTGTACTAAATACATCTCATACTCAGTGTATATGCGTATATAGGCCTTGGTGCCTTATTAGATTTCCATGTGTAGGTGGTGAGTGATGCAGCTCTTCACAGTAAATATAGACTTGGTCAACAGAAATTGCACATAGTGAAGGCACAGGCAAAATAATATGTGTAAACTCAATTTTCTTGTAAAAAATACAAGTTGAAATTTTTATAACCAAGGAAGTTTTGTTTTATTGCTGTGGGACATGTAGTTGTTACATTCTGTTTTTGTCATCTTTTACATATAAATGACGAATAAGACATGTGGAATTTGTTTTTATTCAATTTGTAATGCTACTTGCAATTATGTATATTGTGTAAAATATATGATTATGTAAAAGTGTTTCTGTGTATTTTTTTTTATATGATTTATATATGGTCTTTTTTGTATATATTTTGTGCTAAATCAAAATTTATTTTCAAAAAATAGTTGCTTTTGCACTTTTTTCCAAACAAAGTGTATGTAATGGATGTAACATGTGTGTGTTATTAATTTATTAATTTAATTATTTTTTAGATTGTAAGTGGACAAAATAAAGTCTTTATACAAGGAACAGGGCAGGGAACTACTGCACAAAATAAACAGCATATTGTCATTCATCGACCAATAAATACTGTGAACACTGCTGTGACTGCACAGACTCAAAAACACATACTATTTCGAAAATCGAATACATCTACTGCTCAGATAGTGCCCTTGAACTCAAATCAGGGAAATCAAGTGAATGCATCAGGAAAACATACAATTGCGTATGTGGGTACCTTTCTCAAATCTAACAAATCACGGGAGTCTGTCGTCATACCTGCAGGTAATGAGCGTTTTATACTCGATAAATTCTACAGAATGATAATTTCATAATTTTTGTCAATTTGTATAATATAATATAAAATAAATAAAAGCTTTAAAACTTATAGGCAGATATGTGATAATCGTGAAGAAAAACAAACTATATAATTAATTCGGATAATCCAATTGTCTTACACTCATTTATAAAAATCGCCAAAAAAGAATGTTAATTTATGTTCGATATTGTATTTTACTAGGAGCTCTGACGACGACGCAAATAAATAAGCCAAAATTTGTAATCGCCCCAGTAATATCTCAGCTAGCTCAAACATCGACGAGTACTACAAGTGGCTCTCAGAGCCAATCAACTAAACACATGACGAATTTATTGTTGCCAGTAAACATTCCCCAGCAGAGTGGCAATGCAAAATCTGGGATGTATAACTTAAAAATTAATAACGGTCAAATTAATACAGAAAGCAAAGGAACTATAACAGGTAGGAAAAACCTATAACGAAATAATAAATAAGTTTAATTTTTTCGAGCTCTGACGACAACGCAAATAAATAAGTCAAAATTTGCAATCGCTTCAGTAATATCTCAGCTAGCTCGAACATCAGCGAATAATACAAGTGCATATTTATCTGTGTAACAAGTGTCTTAGGTTTAGCATAAAAAGCAAAATTGTTTAGCAAAAGCATAAAAGATACAAGCAAAAATTATTAGTTTTTACGTAATAAAAAACAGAATAATGGTTCAGTTATCTGCACAACCACATGCAAATAACAGTTATTGCGGAACGTGTGTTGTGCAAAATAAACACTCAGATCTAAAACTCTAAAGTGTTCAACAGATTAAATTACATTGATTGATGTTAATAATTCAAAATTATATCATAAAAGAGGATAAATTAGAGAAAAAATATTTTTATCATATTTTTTCTTTATAAAATATTGTTTTACTGGTTTTTAGTGTTACGTGAATCGAAAACAACAAATTCAGCAACACATCCTCCGCCGTTGCACCCAATAGCGAAAATGAGTCTATTAAATGCAAATAAAAGCAATTCCAATTCTATAGATAGTATAAAAATTACTGAAAATCCAGACTCGGCTGTTATTACGCCTATTCCAAAAAAGGAAGACATTCAGCCGGAGAAACGCAAAAAGATGATTAGTAATATATTGCGAAATTCTACCGAGAAACGAATGAGAAAGCAAACGATGCCAAAATCACCTCAGGACAGTCTGAACGACGCCAATTATGCATTAAATAGTCCGGATTGTGATCAAGATAAAGATAAAAAAGTTCCAAATGATGACGATATTACATTGATCAAAGTTGTAGCTAGCGAAGATAAAACACCGAGTCTTAACGCGAACGTGGATGATGATATAAAAATAGAAATAATCAAAACTCCCACGAATGTCGAAATGTCAGACAATAAGAATGAAACGAAGAGTAATAATTGCGACGAGACGAAAGAACAGTTGAATCAGAATAGTAATAATTTCGATGCGACTAAAGTTTTAGATTGGAAGGATGGTGTTGGAACTTTACCTGGAAGTACTTTACAGGTAAAAACTATATATATATAATGTACACATTTTATATTTACATTACATGAATACGCAATATACAACGAATTCGATTGGATGCACTAGTGCATCTAATCGAATTTGTCGATATTTACTATATGTGTAAAGGAGAGATAATAATATTCGCTATTACATTTAGAAAAACCCTTAAAATGTGTATTATACTATATTTTTATGTATAGTTGAAACACCGCTATTCTTGACAAATGTTGACCGTTATTCTTCACGTTTTCTCCTCTCATGCTGACTCCCCACTACTAACACTCGCCATGTGATCATGCATGGAGTGTAGATGGATGGAGTATATTTAGTTAGAATAGCGGTCCACGTGGTTACGATTGGTCAAGAATAGACTGTAGATATGAACATTTATATATTTTTTATGATTAACATTAGATCACTGTTGTAAATACATAAATAAATATAAGTTCTTTCTTATATTTATTATATAGTTATTTATTAATATATATATATATATATATTCTTTATTAATATAGTTCCGCATGAATGAATTCGGCATCATGGAAGTGGTCGATGAAGACGAGAACAATAAACAGAACAAGGATGGTATTGGTGACAAAGAAAATATGTGTTTGTCGCAAAATTCTTCGAAAACCAATCCGGGAACCGTCAATAATGCTAATGTGGATAAAAAAGGTAAGTTACAAACATTTCTCGTGATAACTTAAACATATATTTTTGAACGTCATTGTGTATAATGTGAAATATATTTGATTTAGCTGATGACAGAAAACCTAGGCCAGTTGAGTCGGACACGTTGTATCATTGTGAAGGTTGCGGATGTTACGGTATGGCCGTTGAATTCGAGAGTCCGATATCCTGTAGCCCCTCTTGTACCGAAATCATCGAGTCTAGAAAGCAATCTATAACTCGAAAGGAGAAGGAATTGAAGTAAGTGTTGCGCAAAAATTGTAATTTGTATAAATAATATTAAAAGAAAAAAACCCTCATTTGCTCAAATATTTATGTAGAGAGGTACGCAAAAAGAAACGAAAAAGATTATTAGAGCCACAATGGTCGAAAGAAATAGATGAGAAGTCTGACGATAAGACGCAAGATAAGGCAAAGTCGGAGACAGACGAAGAAAAAGATACAATGGCAAGTATAGTAGACGAGGAGAGTCAAGGAGATTCATCGGAATCAAAGGTAGGAACAAAAAACAAATTGAAGGTTAAAATTTTGATTTTACTGAATTTTGATTTTACTGCATTAACGCAAATTTTATCTCATAAAAAAAAAATTAAATTTTGCAGTATCCTTGGCAAAAAGGAAAACAGGGTTTCTCATGGCCGAAGTATCTCGATCATTGTAAGGCGAAAGCGGCGCCTGTAAAATTGTTTAAAGATCCTTTCCCTTATATTAAAAATCAATTTCGAGTGGGAATGAAATTAGAAGGTATAGATCCAGAACATCCTTCTCATTATTGTGTTTTAACCATCGTCGAGGTTGTAGGTAAGTCATTAGAAATAAAAATGCACATAGAAAAAATGTTTACACATACAATAGAGACAATCAAATACAACGAGTGACGTTTTCGTTATCAGGTTATCGAATGCGTCTACGCTTTGATGGTTATCCGGAAAATTACGATTTCTGGGTAAATGCAGACAGCTTGAATATATTCCCTGCTGGTTGGGCCGAAAAGAATGGAAAAAAACTGGATCCGCCAAGAGGTTACACGTCTGGCAGTTTTAACTGGAATGCCTATTTAAAGTTGAGCAAGGCGTCTGCGGCAGCGAAAAATATATTTCCGAATAAAAGCATACTTCAAACTGTTTTTCCTACTTGCTTTCGAGTTGGTATGAAGCTCGAGGCGATAGATCGGAAACATTCGTCGCAACTTTGTGTTGCCAGTATAGCAGGTTTAATGGACTCGCGTATATTAGTTCATTTTGATTCTTGGGATGAAGTGTATGATTATTGGGCTGATGCCAGTTCGCCATACATTCATCCTGTAGGATGGTCTCATCACAATGGAGTTCTTTTGATGCCACCAAATAGTAAGAAACTTGAAATTAATTATTATTAAAATTGTAACAATATTTTTTTTGTTATTTTATACATAATAATGTACGTTATAGATTACAAGGATTCTAAATCTTTCACATGGGACGCGTATCTCAGAGAGACTGGTTCAGTGGCCGCACCATCTAGAGCGTTTAAGCAACGACCACCTTGTGCGTTCAAACGCGGTATGAAACTGGAGGCCGTGGACAAACGAGTACCACAGTTAATCAGAGTGGCAACAGTCGAGGATGTGAAAAATCACTTGTTCGTATTAATTGCAATTATATATTCTCACTTTTTCTACCTCACGAGATAATAACTGCATATCTTTGATATAGGTTGAAGATAAGATTCGACGGTTGGCCCGACTGTTATTCTTACTGGGTTGATGATGATTCTTCCGACATTCATCCTGCAGGCTGGTGTACAAAAACTGGTCACCCGTTAGAACCACCACTTAGTAAGTTGTTACATTCTGTATCTTGTATCACAGAATATATTTGTGATATGTGTTATTAACTTATATCATTATTGACATAGCTCCTGAGAATCTGAACGATCGACCGGAATGTGGCACGTATGGCTGTCGAGGTATAGGAAATGTAAAGGGACCTAAGTACGCGACACATAATTCAGCGTCCGGATGCCCTTATTCACCTCAGAACTTGAATAAAACTGGACAGATGCCTTATAGACTTAGTCTGGCAAAATATGAAGCATACGACTTCGAAGACGAAATATCAAACAAATTAGAAAAGACTGACAAAAAAGTGGACAAAAATAGCAAATCTTTGTTCTCAGATGACAGAGTAGTAATAAATGAAAAAGAGATTAAACAAGAAGATGGAGGAGATTTGTCCGATAAGAACGACAGATCCGAAAATAGATCGGAACATTCAGAGAAGTATGTCAAATATAACATCTAGAGACAATTTATAAAGATATGCATAGCGAATAACAAGTATTTATTCATATCTGTGTTTTGTTGTTTTATAGATCCAGCAAATCAAAGAATAGTGACGGACAAACTGACGATGACGACGTTTTGAGAAAACGGAAGAAAAGGTTTGTTGCTGTTCGAGTAGAAAGAGCATTTCTTCTCTCATTTCACACAGTAAATAATCGCTCAATTGTATCTATTTCTAGACGCATGAACTCGGACGAGCCTTTATATTCTGTCTCTAACACCTCGTATGGTGAAAATCTAAGCTGGAATCCTGTTCAGTACGCCGCTAACATACCAGACAAGCAATTGCGTAAAGAACTATATCAGTCTGTATATAATCCTGGATATGATCCATCGCCGAACGCGCCACATGTATGGGCGAAACATAGTAACGCATTAAACAGAGTGGTAGTGAGACAGACCACGAATCCACGACGATGGTCTAATGAAGAAGTAATTAAATTTGTACAAAGTCTGCCTAACTGTCTAGAGACAGGAAATATTTTTAGGCAAAATGTACGTTTCAAAAATACGATGACTATAATTTAAATAATTACTACACTGCGTATTGTAATATTATTACTGTGTCTTGTATTATTAATAATATATCATCTCATTTATTAAATTGCAGAACATCGACGGCGAGGCGTTTTTAATGTTAACACAAGAAGATCTGGTGTCGGTATTGCGTCTACGGCTTGGACCTGCGATTAAGTTGTATAATAGTATAGTTTTATTACGTCAAAAAGCATCATAATGTTGCACAATTGCTACACGCAAGAAAAAAAAACCATATACCAATGACTGGCGAATCGAATAATATGGCAGCTAGATGTATAACGATTTCGCCTATTTATTTACAATAATTATTATTAGGAATATATTTTTCACCAGAAAATTCAGTGAGACAGAAGAGAAAGGTGAACAATTGTTCGTAAATATATCAAGTTGAAAATGATATGTCTAAACCACCGTAACACCTTGTCTTTTAAATTGACATCAGAAAGAAGCATAGTAAAAGTGAAAAAAAAAAAACAAAAAAAAAACAAAAAAAAACAAAAAAAAAACATGCTTGCGTAATATCACAATTTCGATTTTATATCTCTAAGAGGAGGAGCAATAATGCAACATAATTCATGTTATGTGCATTGATTCAAAGCCATTGTTTGTAAGTACTTACATCATTAAATACATATAACGTATTTTTTTCATGACAAATAGGCATCTTGAATCGTGTACAAAATGTAAATATAATTTTAATGATTAAGTATTGTAATAAAAATACTTATACAATCTTTTTACTTAATCATTCTACACATTTCACCATAGGAAAAAAACATTTTAGTTTTCAGTAAAAACTCATGCGTGTATGTGTTAGAGCGAGAGAGAGACTGATACAAAAAAAAACCAATCTCCTAAAAGCTAGATATAGAATTTTCTACAATCTCGATGCACAAAAAGGCTTTTAATAATTTATTTTTATCATATTGATTTTTATTTTGTACGCAAATTATAAATACTCGGAAATATTGTTTCTCTGTATTAAGAAATATAGCTTCATCTTCTTGTGCTTTAGTTTCACTTCCTGTGCTTTATCTGCTTTTTTTCTTTTCTAGATGTGAATATATATTTATTGATAAAAGCAAGATAAAAATACGGGACAATAATAAAATAACTAATGTATTATTATATGTGAAAGAAATACAGTGAATATATAAGTAAAGTAGACAGCTTTGTTACAGTTTGTCGATGTAATATCAGAATCCGTTAATTAAATTGAAAAAATAATATTGCGTTTTGATAGATTTAGAATAAAACAGTTTAACGGAATTTTTTTTCTGTATTTCTTACGATTGTTTTGCACATTATAAATTATTACGAGTTTTTTTATTATACATATTTTATAGTACACAAACTACTACTAAATTCAATTAGTTTATTATTCATTATTTTATTAATTAGTAAAAACTATTTTTTTTGTTATTAAAAATAAGTCGAAAGATGTAGATGATTCTTACATATACTTGTTAATTGTATCGATCTTATATCTCGTTTGAGAATGTTTATATTATCGACAATCGGTTATGTCAACATTCTTATATTTATCTTCGGATCTTACAGTGTATGTTTCAAAACAGAAATGATTGTGAGATTTGAATATATTTTTATATGTAAGACTTTCTTCATCAATGATTATATGTTTAATGTATGTATATAATTGTCTAAAATTCAAGTTCTATATAATATAAATAAGTGTGTGTGTATAAAACTTAAATAGCATAATAAAAAGTGAGGTACACATTATTTTCAATAACATAAATTTACATAAATAATTTTTAAAGTCAGTGATCAGAATACGGTATTTATATGTATACAAAATATAATGTTGCGTGTGTTTTCCTGAACACATTTTCATCAGCTACGAAATATTTTCCTAATACAAAAAATTCAAAAGTATTATTCCTGTTTTAAATAATTTTGTCACTTATACACACACACATAAATATATTGGTTGCGTGCTGCTTATTATAAAAACAAAAGCGTATGCATTTCTCGATCTATCCCCTCTATCGCGCCATTTCTCTTCCTTCTTCCACCACCGGCCGGCGACGTGCCTGCTATGGCGATGTTTACAGCGGTAGTCACGGCAACGGCTCATGTGAATCATGTGATCAGTCGACGGGCCGTCGCGCGCCGAGCAACAGTGGAACGTTGGTTCTGCGCAAGAATCGAATTTCGTGTCACGCGCCACATACTTCCGAGACGTTGACAACTCAACGCACTGTTTCCGTTCCTCGATGAAGTACGCAACCGTGATAATAAACGCGCACCGATTCGACAGCTGGAATAGCGTTCGAAGAACGGATACGCACGAAGGTAGATGCGGCACGTGAATGTTATTTGTTGATGTTTTCGTGTCTCAATAAAGCGCGAGGACTCGATAACATTACTCACGTGCGAAAAGAAATCATTCGGAGAATGAAGACGATTTAAACGCCGGTGTTGAAATTTATTTGCGCGCGAAATCGATATGTATGAAATTGTCACTCGGAAGTGATAAACGAAAAGAAACACTTGTGCGCACACAAAATGAGGACGCGTGATCGCGCGTGATTTTAACGAAGACAAGATCAGAGATTTCGATTCAAAATTGTGTGAAACAAACGGGTAGTAATTTCGGAGCAAATCGTGCGCGCGCGCGCGCGACGTGAAGTTGTCGTCGCGGGGTAGTTGTGTCACGTGATAATTCTCCCCGCGGAAGAAGACTGAAATTCGCGCGAGTCTGTCGCGGCGAGGTGTGTTATGGTCCGCGTGCAGTTTTCATTCGCGGAACGAAACAAGGGCGGCGATGAAGCGACGTGGTTGCCGGTGAGCGATCCCGGTGAGGATAAATGCGCGGCGGAACAAGTGTGGCCCTGCAATTTCACTAGCCCCCAGGCACCTCGTTCGGCGCTCGTTGGCGCGGGGCACGCTACCACCGGTATGATTCCACGGGGTTTGTCGAGACGCGGCCTCCAGGCACTAGTCCTCGTAATCGCCACTGCCTACGCAACGATTCTCCTCTACCAGGCTGTTGCACAACGCCAGGTAATTAAGAATGTTAAAATTGCTTTCTCAGAACGCACGTTATTGTTGCATATCGCAGAAGGGATGACCTTTGCCGCGAAGTTTTCTCGTATTTTATTTACTTATTTACGCGTGCGCGACTACCATCGAGATTTTTGCACAAGTATATTATAAAAAAACAAATGCTTAGTAAAGTATTCCCCGAATTTCGCGCCATTTTACGGAAATTTCTCGCGAAATTTCATTCATTTTTGATAACCGTGTGTTTTTGGTACAAATTTCAGTGGATCGACGAGATCAACGTGGCGGATGCAAGCAGCCGAAGTGTGATGGTGGAAGTGCCGGCGTCGAGGAAGCTAATCGGCGATGAGTCGCCGGTGACGCCTCCGGTGGCTACGGCGACCGTCGCTCCGTTTGTCACAAGTCTCGACAACGTGTTTATCAGCGTCAAGACCACCAAGCACTATCATCATTCGCGTCTGCCGGCCATCATCGACACGTGGTTCCAATTCGCCAAGAATCAGGTGTGTGTTCTCTCCTTTTACGCCGCGTAAATTGATTAGCGTCGCTCCGTTTCTTGCTTCTGAACGCCCGGTGGAAAACGAGAGAAAGAATAGAGACGATCTTGTTTACGCACAAATATACGACAGTCGGCTGAAAACCGTTCTGGAAAATCTCAAAAATATCCACTATTCGATATTTTCTGATGTTTTGCGCGCATTTTATCTTTATTTTTATGATTCATTTTTTTTACATATAAAAAAATATTTGTTGTGAAAAACAACGTTGATACTTTCTATGGTCTTGGGCGAAACTTTCGTTGTTGCGCAAAGACCATCTCATAACGCACGCGTTACGCCCATAGTACGCATATGTTACGGAGTTATGTTAGACCAGCCGGTTGGAACTCGAGCAAGAAACGTGTGGATTAATCGCGTTAAAGCGTGATAAATGCGCGTTTAGTTCCATCGCGTTGTTTCTTCGACGTCGAGATGTAATCGAATGTACGCGTTTTTCCGCAAAGCGACATAGACCACACTGTGTGCACGGCTCGTTGAACCTTATCCAAGGGTATCGGAGCGTATTCGCGCGAATTGAAGCATATTCGCGCGTTATTTATCACAGACCGTGTCGCCAAAGATGAACGTGAATCCACAATCTCTCGCGCGCCGTGGGAATGAGATTTGTTCCACTCTTCCTTCCTCGCGATTCCTCTCATTTGCCTCCTCGTCGTGAATCTTTTACCGTGCTCCTCGGAAACAAGTTACTGTTTTTTTTTTTTAAGTAAACACACGAGGCAACTGAAATGTTGATTTTAATCAAAGTAAATTCAAGTTTTAGAAAAGTTTTCTGTTCTGAGCGCGCACATTCGTATTAAAGTTCTCTTTATGTATAAATCTTTTTTTTTATGTAGATTAAAAGTTAATTAATTGCGTATTTATTTGTATACTCTATTAATTTGTATATCTATTTGTGTTCAAAAAGAATCGAGAGTGTGTGTTATTTCATTCTTATGAAAATCGATAGAATAATCAACGTTTTTCAAACGGAATCAGCGCGCGCGCAATTAACACTAATGAAGAAACCTTGAGAACTTCTCATACACGATGTTGAATAGAGACACAAGACGCATCAGCAGCTTCCGCGTCCTTCTGTATTTCTCCGGGTTAATATACCGTTTCTCCAGGTAATTGCTACCTCGCGATCTGCACGAGTTCACGCGTTTCCTCTCTGTAGAGTTTCGCTTCTTCTGCCTTATTCCATCGCGCTTTCAGAAGGAAACAGAATTCAGTTACGGGATGCATCGCTTCCCGACGCGCACTTGATATCTTCATTTTAATATCATTCACCCGACTTCTCTTCTTCTCTTTCTCTCTGATTTTCTGATTCTCATTTATTTTCTGATTTTTGTTATAAAAGCGTCACACGAAACGTAATTTGAACGCTAATTTCGAGTCTTCTATAATAAAAAATCAAACTCGAGCGAATAATTAAAGAATCCTCACGCGTTGCACGATGTTATAATTAATCCCGATTATTCTTCGCTTCCATTAATCTCACGCTTTTTCTCCTCGTATACACTCTCGTGTCGGGACGCATTTTCCGGCGACGCGAGCGAGAAAAAGGGTCTGTGTCCGGCTCTGTGTACGGGTTTCTGTCTCGTGGGAAGATCTCACGATTTACCTCCGACAATATCCCCGCGCAAACCGACTTAGTCCACCCGCAAAGTGTATTCCCGACAAGCTCACCTTTTCGTTGTTTCCTTACTCGATAATTAAGCGACGTTCCACGATTTCGCGATCGTTCTTTTATTATTCGCAGACGCGATCGATGTTGTTATAGTGATTCTTATGCATTCGCGTAGTTGTTGCCGAAATTCGATGCATTCGGCATCGTAAATATCGCGCAGAAGATAGCTTTAATTGAATAAAAATACAAAAAAAAATCTTTAAAAAAAAAATAAAAATCAATACGCGCAAACTTCCAGAAGAAAAAATAAAATAATTCAAGTTTTCGTCTATGATCCCGAGACATTCTTCGTATGTTAAATGATTTGGAAAAATTTGAAACATTTTACCTGAGCTGAGAAAAATAGCGTCAATATAAATTTCTGAATAGAACTTCGGACAGACCCCGTTCCCTTTTCTCACACGAAATTAGAAATTCACGATCTAATTTATGGTAGGTGATTTATCGCGGCGAAGATAATAGACTCGAGTAGAGAGACCTGAGCTACCTGCCTCAGGCTCGAAATTATTATTTGCGGAGCAATATGTCTCGAAAATGCAAATCGATCTTTTCTCCGCTGTCCGTTAAATTTCTGCGATAAATATGAATCAAAATTTTTATTTTACATCATCGCGCTTTTCGTCAACTCCTTCGCGTATATGTTACGACATTCGCGAATCTACACTTCTGTATCTTCTAAAAAAAAAAGAGAGAAAATAATATTGCTAAAACCAGCGTGTGTGTGTGTGGCAATTCTCGCGCTGTTAAGATATCAAATTTCTCTTTCAAATTGGACAGAGGTGAACGGATAGGTCGTGATGTTTTGATTATTAATACGTCGTATATAAGCGGGTAATGCGTTTTAATAATGCGCTCCACTGAGGAGGAACATTGGCTGCGCCTTTATTACCGGAGCAATTCCTATATACATATATATTCGCCGGTCTTCTCCCTCCTCGGTTACTCCCCTTACGATTCTGTTAATGGCCTTTAATGACCACATTTATGCACCTCGCTACCTATTTCTTTTCTCGTTCTTACGTGCTCGGGAGCTTTATGTGCCACAATAATGGGGTCAAGTCGGTAATACCCGCTCGGTTCATTTAAGTTATTTTCCCGAGATCCGCCCAGAAACCGCGAAAACAATTTGTGTATGTCGTCGCGATGTGTCACTGTAATGACAGCAAAGATTACGCGCAATCGCAAAATAATATTTTTTTCTGTAGCGAGAATAGCGCGAAATTTTTCAAATCTTAATTTTATGACACTTTGTTAAAAAAATTTTAATTATCATTTATGACGATTGATGACAACTTTTTAAAGTAAAATAATATGTAGTTTACGTTGTGACTTTTTAATAATTATCAAACGTCTTAATAATTAAATTTCAAAGTAAAATTTTTGTTTAATAAAGTTTTATAATTAATTCCACTCATTCTGGAAGCATAATTTATATGAAAGATTTCACATTTAAGATCGTGATAATTGAATTTCAGTAATTTTACTCTCAGGTGGTGATAACTTGTCTTCAAACAACTCGTGAAACAAACCTGATGCTTTTGAGAGCCCAAAATTTTGACGGAGTCTCTTATTATGTCTTTCTTCAAATTCGATAGTCATGCCGTTCGATTGTCGTGTTATTAAAGCAAACCCGTGAACATAGGGATAGGTACAAATTTTCGTGATTCACAAAAAAAGATTCTCTCGCGGGTCAAAGACGTCCGTCGTGGTGGTGTCGTTATTCGGAATGACTCGGCCGATATACTCAATCCTCCAATCGACGAAGACCGGTCAAACACGCGTTCGGAACTAGCATCGGATAATTGGTCGATTACTTCGGTTATTTAAGCGAGTTTTAAAAGGTCCGAACGCAATTTCGCGCGGCGGTCGATGAGAGCTCGCTGCGCTTTGGTGAATTATTATTTTTTTTTTTTCTGATTTCTCATTGCTCTTACAAAACACTCCACCGTGCGATTTTCAATTGGTCCGGCGCGACGTATAATCGACGGGCCACTGCCGAACGATATTTATCCAATTCTTTTCTTGATTGAAGATTACGCGGAATTCGTATCGAGAGGAAGTGCACGTGTGAAACATTTCAAACGTATTATACGAGAAAAAAAAAACAAATATGTAATTTCTTACAATATTTTATAAACATACTTGTGTAATTTATCCGATGTATGTGTGTGTTTATTTGAAATAACGACACGCTGATCTCGCGTTAGAAGACGATTGTCAAATTTTCCTCGCTGGTGCAAAGTTAAATTCGTTTCGCCTAATTAGCGACGTAACGAACGAGTGTCTTAAATACGGTTCTACGCTTCCCACACGAACGGGTAGATATCGTGACACACGAGGCGAAATAACGAGCACACTCGCGCGACGAATTCCCCGCGAAAAGTCCGAAGATCAGCTTAACGACACGGCTCTTTCAAGTACGTGCGGGGATTAATGCAATTATGTCGATGTAACGCGACGCCCGGTGCCACTGACGTCATCGCGCGATGCTCGTCTCTTATTTTTGTACACACGACGTTCACTCGCATGCCGGATATTCATGTTCTTTCTGGGAACGCTGACGAGTCTCTCCGGTCTCTCCCTCTTTTTCTCTATCCGCATGCCACGGATAAATGCGGCGCAATTGTAGCGCCTTCTTGTTCGCGATTTTTATCAATGTTTGTCGCTCGACCCGGATATCCCGTTTTGCGATCCGTTCGGATAATGCGAGCTCGAATCGAATTCAACTACTTATGTTATGCTATTTTCTACAACATATATATCAGATGACAAGATCCGGTTTTCGCAAAAGTTTTATTCGCATCTCTTGTTATTTGTACAGGAATTTAATTTTAATTGAAATTAAACGAACAAGTGTCAACTTACCTCTAAGCTACAAAGAGAGAGAGAGAGACACTTAGATCGTGAAACGCTGTAAAGTTGGAAATTCTTCATTTTCGCGCGCCAGGACGGAATTTTCTGTGTCGTGTCGCGCGAAGAAAGCGACAAGCGCAAAATTGCACGAGGCGGAAATCGGATCGCGCCGCCGACAATCGCGTTTCCTCTCTCGTGGAATTTTCTTCCCCAGCGCTTTGTACACGGTACGTGCCGACGCGCGATGTTTCGTCTCGTGAAAATTATTATAAGAGGATGACAATGCTTCTGGAGTGTATACTTTCTTCTCTTCGGCGGTTCCTTCACTTTCCGAAAGGGAACTTAACACACTCCTCGGGGAACTAAAAATAAGCGACTGCTTTAACACGTGCACACGCCGATCGTAACGTAATGACGCTGCGATATGTTGTTCGAGAAGTCCAGATGCAACCGCCACGCGGAAGGGAGTGCGCGCGGACACGACAGATACAAATGGAAAGTCTCTCGGCTCGCTGTGCTTCGAAATAAATTTTTCAGCGCGACAAAACACGCGAGGAACTTTGTTCGCGTTTTTGACTGTGTAACGATCGAAAAAGTCTTTGCTTTAAAAAGTTACGTTGTTTTATCGCAGTTTCTTCGCTGCGAATTCTAAAGATTTAAAAGTTTTCCACCGCTTTGAGTTTTTCCTCGTGGGCTCTTAAGTGAAAAATAATGTTCATGAATAAAAATAATGTTTTTCATAGTCAAACACACACACACACACACACACACACACACATATTAGATATATCGTTCCTTTCTTGTCAAATTTTTATTTTTATCTCGCACCCGGTTACCAAAAGTTCTCAATTATTTTCGCGAACGCATTGCAGAGAAATATATTGGCTCGCAAAGCACATAACTCAAGGTCGTGAGATTTGTTGCGTGCGATCTAAAGCGGATGGAGCGCGATCCGTTTCCGAGAGGATAAGAAAGGGATTGGATTTATGATTGATACGTGTAGGTGTGTTGGTTTGACTGTGAAACGGTCTGCGGTAAACAATCGTGCGCATATATAACATACATACGTGCCGCTGCGTGATTATTATCGCGCCGTGTATCGGATAGAATCGAATAAAGAAAAGATTGCGTGTAATCAAAATATAACGATTTCGTTTTGTTTTTCTGTTTGCAGACCTGGTTCTTCACCGACAGAGATGATCCGTATTTTCAAAACCAAACCAGTGAGTATTTATTTAACAAATTTATTTTAAACTAAACTTCTTTTCTGCGTTCTATCTGTCAGTAACAATACATATGTATTTCTATCAAATTTCTATAAATAAAATAGCGTACAAACAATCGCCGATTAATTTTGGTATCATGCGAACGAGTCTATCGATGTGCACGTAAACGTTTTTCGTCTCGAATAAATAAAAAGAAACCCGAGCGCGACGTTCGTTTATTTGTCGTGTAATATTCGTGTAACACGAAGCACAGATAATTACGACGGCGAGTCTTAATAGTCGCTCTCGTTTATGCGATAATTGCCAGCGAAACGAGCGCGTGTGTGCAGAAGCTCGTCTCGCATTCGTAGAAGCCGAGTCGCCTCGTCAATCATTTCGAAAGTTTGGTCATATCTCCTTGGTTTGTCCGTCCAGAGGACGAATAGACGTGCAGTTTATGTGGGTAATTGCTTAGAGGCGATGTTTGCATTTTTTATTTCTGTCGGGGCATAAGAAAGAGACGGTCTGTTATTTGTCTCGGCGATCGGCATATTACAGTTTGTTCGGAGAAACGAACTCGCGAACTTTTATTATTGTTTTGTTAGCGTCGCGTGCGCGAGAATATGTTAACACGACGAAATAATTATCCGCCGATCGTGGCACCGGATGTCCAATAAAGCGAAACCGACGTGGTTGAAGTAGAGCCAGAGAGCACGTGTGCGAGAGTTGGCTCTCTCGAATAGACTCGACTCGGGATTGCGTGCGCTAGATCGACCGGTTTGCAAATCGAAAGAGATCGCTTGTTCAAGTACGCCGCACAAATCTCCGAAGTGATAAATCGATCGATCGATCGATCGCATCGCGATAACTTTCTTTGCACGTGGAAATACACAGAGCTCGACATCGAGTATTTGGAATATAAATGTACGATATATTATTATGAATATTAATGAGCGTATTAACTTGTTTTGATTAGCAAGTGGAAAGTTCAAAATTGATTATCGACAATCAACTCGGTTGTTTGTATTGCAATTTCTCTTTTTCGACTCTTCCAGTTTGTTTTTTCTTTCGGTAATTAATTGAATATGTTGTACGCGAGAAATATTAAATACTAATTAATTAAACGTAATTTTCACATGGGTAATTCCCGTTACAACTGCATTTACTTTGTTTCATATTATATATATATATATATATGTATATATGAATATATATATACACCCACACACACACACAAGTTAACAACGAACTTGGTATTTGCGATAATAGCGGTTGCGCGGCGATTCTAACCGGCAATATCATTGCCAACCTACCTTACAGTGCATCCCTCCCAATTGCGCCCTCGGGCGCGGATGCGGATGACGAGCAGGCGGAGAAAGCGAATGATGAGAAACGACCGGTCGAAGAACTTGAATAATATTACAACATTGCGGGATAAAAAGCGGCGAGTTTGCGCGTTTTGATTATTCGGATCGAATCATTTTTACCGGAATAAATATATATGTACAAAAAGGAAAAACAACTCGCAAATACAGAAACTGTACGCGAGATAAACAAATATATCGAGAACTCGTTTAGGGTAAGAGAGAGACGAAGCGGTACCATAATCGAGAGTATAGTCCAAAAAAAAAAAAAAAAAAATAGAAATGATGAAATTCGCGCGGATCATTACGGCGCACGGGCGCCCCTTAATAAACTCGACATTATTTCATACCTCGCTCATAACTCGGGCCGTGCATTAGTCACGAGGCGAAGGAGCGTGTAGGTGGACGCGGGCTCTCCAAGGAGGATAATATCGGGTGCGGAAGGATGGAATGGAGGAGGGGATGAGCACGCGAACCCTCGGGCACCGTCCGACATTTGACCTCACCACGCGCTCTGCACCGGTTTGCACCTCCACATCGACCATTTCTCATTACCGTCTCTCTACCTGACTCGATCCCACCCTTCGCGAGCATAATCCAGGTGTGGATGCTGACAACTTCGCGCTGGATATCTCACGTAATGACGTTTCAGAAAATACCGTTCTTCGCAGAAATTCTAAACACGTCGAGTCAATCAAGTAATAAGCAACAAACTTGTGTGTGTGTGTGTGCGCTCTTTATTATTGTAAAAAAATGATTGATGCGATTTTAGACATTTTACGTTTATTTTTCTTGTTTTCTTATGAGAGAGAGAGTGTGAAATTGTTTTGGAAATTCATTTTTTCCGAAAAAAGTCGATGTGTGTAACGTATCACACGTGTAATCAAATTGATTTATGTAAATAATTGTTATACGTAATACATCTATAACTTTTTGCTGAACACTAAAAAACATACATATGTTATATAAATGTTTAGCGTGTTTAGCAGAAGTTAGTGGTGGTACTCTCGACTCGCGAAAATGTTCGGTGTTGCCGAAGAAGCGAGAGTCATCAGCACGAATTAATTGGACCGCCGTAGTAGCGGCTCACGAGGATGATTATTAACCTCTTAATTAATTGCACGCCCACCCTACGTTCAGCTTCCTCCGTTTACTTTCAGACGGCCACATGATCAATACCAAGTGCTCGTCTTCGCACAATCGGCGGGCCCTTTGCTGTAAGATGTCCGTGGAATTCGACCGATTTCTCGACAGCGGCCGAAAGTGAGTAACAACTAAAATAGAACATTGCTATTTTAACAGAAGTAGAAAATTACGAACTTACAAAAGCTATAAATAATGAGTTACAAATTATACATCTAAAAATTTCTATACATATGGTGCGACATCATTTTGAATATTTCGTAACACGCTGTTACAAAATCGAGGTAAAGTTAAAAATACGCGAAATAATATACGCGCGCGCGAACAAACTTATTAATGCGACTGAAAGCATATATTCTGAATATAATTTTGTCAGCGTAAGTAGAAAATACGGTATCGATGAAATTTCGAGCGTTATACTCGATATGCGTTCGCAAATTCGATATCTATGCTTGCGCAAGAGCTTGTTTCGAAACGTATGCAACATCGACGCGATGGAATGCCGTTTTCTCTCCCGTTGGTTAGAAATCACTCGTTTTTAATTAACATCGAATCTTTCATCGGCCTTCACCGAAGAGGCGCAACAAGTTGATTTGCCACACGCTCTTTATATCTCACCTCTGTGCTTATTAAGATTTACTCTTCCGCGCTTTTCGAGTTTCCGGGCCCCTTATTCTATATGCACATAAATTTATAGATTTTAACGCGCGCGCGTTCTCTCTCTCTCTCGCTCTTTTTTTTTCGACCAAGGAACCGTGCTTGACGTTCGTGCCTCCGGCGAAAAGCCGGTCGTTTTACGAGCAACGCGATTATCACTTTATAAGTAAATGCAGCTATCGTTATAGCTCTTCTGCGTCAGTATATAGCGAGATAAAAATCGATTTATGTTTCCTGATGAGACTCGCCGGAATAAACTTACTTTTTACGAACTAATTAGCGCGATTCTGCCAATTCAGATTTATGTATGTACCTACATCGCGGGCGCTCTGATAATCTTATTTTTCACCGCTTTAATTAATGGATCTTTTCGGAAAAAAGGAGAGAAGGAATGAATGGATGTCTTGTACGCGAGATGCAATCCTCAAGCATCTCACGTAGATTTTTTAATCAGATTAATAATTCGAATTAAAATTTGTGTAATTTACAAAATTTAATTTTTTACGGTAATCTCAAAACTGCGCCAATCTCTCTCGGAAAAACATAAATAATCACGCGTGATGTAAAAAACTGATTGCGAAGTAAAAACTTTCGCAATCTTGCTCACGGTCACTTCATGTGCACTTTATTTCGCCCGTGTGTATGTGTGTGCAACTTAATCGCGCTAATCAGATTATCCGCCCAATGGTCTCTCGCGTGAGAGTAGACAGCACTGTGTTCTTCTTCTCTCGCCGGTTCTCCGAACAATCATCCGATCTCGAACGGTGAAGCGAGTGGTGATCCGATAAGTCTCTCGGGGGGCTTAAAGACACCCGGTATATCGCCCCGACCGAGACAAATAAATATTTCTGGTGAAGACAGGCTTTATCCGAGGTTTATATCCGGCGCTATAAAAGCGTGTCTCTCTTTTCATCGAACGGGCGTTCGAGTCTCCATTACCGGTCCGTTATGGGTTCAACCGTACGTCGATAATACCCGATATCCGTCTGATAAGATGTTTTTATACTCGCGAGCTGTGTGCGTATACAACACTCGTTGCTTCACGGCAACGTACATAGCGCGATGGAATGTTAGATTCCTTTATGTGAACGCGCGCGACCGGAACGTTGACGCGATTGCGCGCGCCGGAGATTTGTCCACTAGATTAAGCGCCGGGTTATAAATATGTGGGTGGATGAACTTCTTATCTATCGGCGGGAGGATATTAAATACGTGTTCGGTATACAATGATGTGTATGATACTCGAAGACTTCCATATACTGGAACGCGATGGAATCAGAGTCGGTACGCGCTGAGAAAGTCGAATCGGTTTCGCCATCAAAACGCGTTCCCCAGTTTCATTTCCGAGTTTGATCTAAACTCGTTAGATCTTACGGGATAATTGCAACGAGATGACACAGTAACTTAAGTTTCATTGATTTAAAAGATCAGGAAAACATTGTAAAAATGTTTTGATGTTTTATTCGCTCTCGATTATCTTCAGAAGTGATTTTTTAATTTTGAAAAGTTTTCTTTGACGCTGAAATATTAAAAAAAAATATATTTAAAAAACAATTTGAATATGATATGATAGTTTTACGAGATACGATATGTGCGACACATTCGATCCCGTTTCCCAAGTTTGTCGAAAAGGTGGGACCCGAAGAAGAGTTCGTCGAGTGCACTTAGTTGCCTTTTCTTCGCGCATAATGGACGCGTGTATCGCATCCGCTGTCGAACGTTGATGAGAAGCTAATGGATTTGCATAGGTGCGTTTTCTCGAGTGGAGAAAGTGGCGGCCGCTGAAAAAAAAAAAAAAAAAAAAAAAAGGACGAGTATAGCGATGAAGAAGTTTTTAATGGTAAACGCGGCGTATCCACGGCAAACTTCGGGGTAACCCGCGCGCGTTTTGGGATTTCCGCGTTGTTTGCGAACCGAGAGCATAGTGTTATTGCTGCAGTCTTGACCGGTCGAAAATTTGTGTTTACTCAAGGTGGCCTAAAGCGCGGGCTAAAATGTATGTGCGCGGGTCTCGTCCTACGCATCGTCAAAATATTATCTCTACACGGGCGGTGACCAGCGCCTAGAAAAACACATCTAATGGCCGAACGGCTCGTCGCAAACCAATTAACGGTGGCCGAGAGTCCACCGTCGGCTTTTCAACGAGATATTTTTTTCGAGAATATATATATATATATTTTTTTATCAATGCGATAACGCGTTATAGCACGAAACGACGCATCGTTAAAGAAAATAGTGAAAAAAAAAATTGCATCGTAATTTTTTTTTGTTGAGAATTCAACACCCTTAAAAAAAATTCATTTATTTCTTATAATCTTTTATTGTGCTATTTTATTCAATCATTCTTTTTCTTGGAAAAAACTTATCGTTTACGAATAATTTATTTCCACGTGTACGCGTTATTATTGCGGCGATTGATTTATCGCGACACGGCTGTTTCATGTTGTTCCGCGTTTGTGGAACACAGAAGGCTTCGCTTATCTCATTTTCCATATAACGTCGCGTGTACTTTCCTTGCTTTGCTTCTGCTTAAACAGCAGTTCAAGCACCGATGACAGATTGTTATGGGAAATTAACCCACCGAACCTCCTGTTGTCGCGACGATCCGTGAAGTATTTACAATGTTTTAACAACGTTTCCGTTGTTACTTTTATTTACCTGTCTGTTGTAAAAATGTATGGGAAAAGTCTCTTTCTTTTGCGCGCGATATCCTGTACTCCTGTCGTCGCGTGTTTGCAAAATCAGAGCGCGGGAATGTTCTTTCAAAAGTATAGTTAATAATCTCACTGACCTCTTTGGTAAATGAACACGTGCTCTTGGTGGTTTTCTTAGGCCACTTCATAGCGGTCTCTCTCGCAGAAGAGAAGAGAGCTTCCTTTTGTGTTCTTTCAAAAAGTCTACAATGCTCTACAATTCCGCGGTACGAAAACGAGCGAAGGAAAGAAGAAGGTAGAGAAAGCGAAGAGGAAGAGAGAATGGGACGGTCTCTCGTCGGGCTTGTCGTGAAGACAGACAGGCTTGAGGGGGGAGAAGGGTGGGAGAAAGGGAGAGAAAGATTAAAGACGGAGGGAAGTGGCACCAGCTGGCCAGGAGAGGAGACGATTCAATCTCTTTCTCTTCCTCCTTCTTGCCAGCCGAAGCCTTTCGAGAGGGCATCGAGAGAGGACGACAGGAGATAGCCAGGAAAAGAGAAAAAGTGTCTCGTATGTCACATGCGGGTCTCCGCGCCACGCTTCTTATTTCTCTCTTTTTCGTCTTTTAACTACCTTCCACCGTTACCACTGCAGAACCCTGTCGCCTGTCCTATCTTAGATAGTTTACTCTTATCTCTCTTTTGCATTCGTCATGTGAGAAAAAATAAACAATGAGACACACGAGTGTTTTGAAAGCGGAAAAGTTTTTGATAGAAAATGCGACAAACAGATAAGACAGTAGATTCTCTGGTAACTTTTAAATTATAGTAAATTAATTCATATTTTTTTTTTTTTATACACGTAACACACAAGCGCGGTTAATTAATGGTAATAAAGCACCGAGATACTATCGAGGTGTGTTTTTCAGTAGGTGTGTGTAGTTCTTGTAACTATATACGGGATCGCTCGGGGAACGCTGTGAGATAACACGTGTTTCTTCTCGCGACGTGAAATTTTAGTGTTTTATTGCGTGAACGCGCGCGTTACAACTTCTTCGGTTAAACTATCCGGTTAAATTATCGCCAACTATTTCGCACCTCGTCTAGACCAATTATACAGGTGTACGCGGACGTTCAGATTCTCGATCTCGATGAAAAAGCGAGAGATGTAAACACTTAAGGAAACTTTGTGTGTGGACATAAATTTTGACGAAATTTTTTTCTTAAAGCAGTTTACAAACTTTTCGCATGTACGTGTCTTTACGAAAAAAAAAAATTAAAAATACTGCCGCATAGTGTAATCTGACAATCTCGTTGATGTTTTGACGAGATAAAAACAGCTCGCGCAATGTATAACCTAAAACTTATAACTTATAGATAAACGTAACTACTTACGTGTTTTTTGTCCGGGTAAAAGAATCTCCAAGATAAGGAGCGCGCGACATTCTAATGTTATCTTATCGTATTTCGACAAGGTCGTACTGTTTGTAAAGGGCGATACCGTTTATCGTGCTCAAATATGTAATATTTTTTTCTCTTCAAATATTTAATCTTTTTTCTTCCCGAGAAACTTCACAACTGATATACTTTCGGTATTTTGCAGTATTGTAATCTGAAAGATGTGACGCGTGTTGACAATAATCGTAATCTCATCAATTCAAAATCTTTTTTTTTTTTTTTTTTTTTTAAAAACAAAGTTTCTTAATGTTTACTATTTTACATTTGAATCTTGTCATGTTGTAATTTAACACGACGAAGCAATGAGGGAACAAATTCACGCGGTCGGAGTTAGAGTTTTGCGAGCAACAATTTGTAAGATCTACTTCGTACA